CAGGTTAGAGACCCCTGTATTAATGCTTAGTTTGATGTTTGTATTAAAAAACTGCCTTTTTTATTACTTAAAAGTTTGGTTTGAAATCTCACCCCAAAAACTGCTGAGATCTGGCAATCTTGGTGGGGGGGGGGAGTAGAAAACTGGAGCCAATTATATATAAATTTTTCCCAAGCAGGCAACATTTCCTGCACTGCCCACTTCAAATTCCAGAGGAGAACGCATCTCCCTATTCAAGGAATGGTGTTGTTGTTGTGTGAGTATTGTATATAAGAGAGAGGGGGCTAAGTGAAATTCTTTTGTGGAAGAGGCAAATAGCTCACTTGCTTTAAAATTCAGAGACAAAGGTTGTGAACAGGATTTCCCATGAAAGGGATTGGCAGGCTGATGTAGACAATCCTGTTATGTCCCACTTGCTAAAACTATTCATTTCATTGACAAAATACCAATCTATACTTAATCTATTATATACCATTCATGATAGTGTTCAAAATAAAGTACAGTAATAATCACAAAAAGTGCTGTAGATCTTTAGTTATCTAGAGAAGAGGTGGAGAACTATGGCCCCTTTATGGCTTGTGGGCTTCAATTCCCAGAATTCCTCAGCCAGCATAGTTGGTTCAGGAATTCTGGGAGTTGAAGTCCACAAGTCATAAAAATGCCATAGTTCCCCACCCTTGATCTAGAGCAGAGGTGTCAAACTTGATTTCATTGAGGGCTGCATCAGGATTGTGTTTGACCTGTGGTGGGGAGCTGGGGAGCATGGCCAGGGTCAGTTTAAATAAGACATTATTAAATTTCAGCAAAATAAGAACCTATCTCGGGTCCCTGTTTTGCAAAGAATTCACATTAATCAATCTTTGCCTTGGATTCACAATCATATCAAAATGTCAAATACATATTATAAATTGGAGAATCTGATCGTGGTTCATGTCACATAAAAGGATTTTTGGCTGACAGGAAATGAGAATATAAAAACAAAGAAAGATAAGTTTCCTCTTTTATTAAAGGTCAGAATTTTTCTTCCCAGTAATATTGTTTTATCTCATGCATAAGTCTCAGAAGATGTGAAAATAAGTTTTTATCATTTTAAAGATCTCCAACAGAGAATCTGCCTGGGGAAAGAAGAATCCTGACTTCTTAATGAGAAGCTAGAAGACACAATGATACTAATGAACCTTGTAATAGTGAAAAAGTATTTTTGCATAGCATGTTAACTGTCTCAAGTCTGTTCATTCAATTTGGGTCAATAACATGGATGAGAAGGGACAATATATGTATTTAATTTCCTGAGATATGACTGAGATAATAGAACTGTTTTAATTCTATCAATTTTAAATCAACCATAAATTTCTGCATATAGAAGCTTGTCAACATCTATTCTTGACACGTGATGTGCTTAATGCAAGTTAGTACAGCATATTTTCATGTTGAGGATTCAGCTTTAAAATAAAGGACTGGACTAAGTAACTTTCTCTCTTCTTCCAAAATTAGCTAATCCAAAACTAAAACTATTCTAGTAAACAGTGTCAATGTACGCTACAATATTTACATTCGAAATGTAAGGGCATTACAAATTTCTTGAGAGGACGACTCCTAGAATTCTAGGTACCGGTAGGTATCCAGCATGTGAATTTTGAGGGTTGTCTCAGCAAATTTTGAAGCACTACCTTGGACAAAGCTTTTGTACATATAGTGAAAATGTTTACTTCAAACATTGATTTCCCCTCATATATTTCATACTACGGTACTTCCTTCTTTCTACTTAACTATAACAAAATCTAATATTTGCAATATTGGTTACTCACATTTATTCAGGGCTATTCATATTTGTTCATATCATATCTCTTTCTGTTGTCTTCCTTAGCACAAAATGTAATCCAGAAAACTCCATGAGGGTAAGGATTAGGGTTATTTTGTTTAAGAAGTCTTTAAGACAGTGCCTTCTATGTAATAATAAGATTCATATCTTATGCACCTATTGTAGAATTTGCAATCAAAATAGTGGATAAATAAAAATAGTATCTACTCTGGACTCTTCTGATCAAATTCAGACCAGTCTGAAGTCTTTTTAGTAAAAATCAAGTCAATCAATCTTGACCAACCATATGCTAGTTTCCTGAGGTTAATGGACTACATTTTTATTAAATTTATACGGCCAAGAATGGAACTACATCTTACCGAAATACCTATTACAAACTAATTGGAACTGGGTATGCAAAATGTTTTGCACAAGTAATATATTACAAGTTAGATTTAATCATATTGATCCACTAAATCTCAAACCTAGGATCAGATCCTGCTTTAATACTTTGGTTTCTATATGGACTTTAATTTATATTTTCCTATTTTAGATGACATCAGAAAACTGTTTTGAAAAACCATAAAATGTTTGCAGAAACTGAGAAACATGTTAGATTACATGTGGTCGGAGACCATTGTGTCTGGACATGGCTTAGATAGCAATTGCTCAGTTTCTTTGTATGAAAAATGTAAGAGAGAGAGAGAGGGAGGGAAGGAGAGAGAGGGGGGGGGAGGGGGAGGGAGAGAGAATATGAAAGTTATTCCACGTTATTGGTTTCTGTGTATTTCTGTGAAGAATCAGACTACTCTTTAAAATGTACCTAAATCAATACTTCAGGAGCTCTCCTTTCAAGAGATTCTTGAAAGTGTTTTAAACATTAGTATATAATTAGTAGACCTCTGCATACTTGTCAAAACCCTTTACTGTATATTCTTCAAGGAGGATACCTGGTATGTGTAAATTGCTACAACTGCAAATTAATCATCATGCAAGGGAAAGTCATTTTCATAAAAGACTGAGTCCTGGTGACTTCAGGGGTATGTATATTTATGCTTTAAAGTTCAAAGTATACTAGCTCAGTTCAGTTGTTAAAATCACAGAATGTTCAAAGCACAAAGAAGACACTGCAAGAAAAGAATATCATTGCGTCAAGATTGAATATAGGGAGAATCCTCCTCTACTTCCAGCTTCAACATTTTCATCTGGCCACATGCAGGATATTGAAAGCTGTATGTACAAGCTTTGTCTGCAATCTGTAATTTAATTTTTATTTCTAATGTTTTCAGCAAAAGGATATAAATTATAGGCATAGAACAAGTACAGCTTGTTGTACTTGTGGAAGAATAAGTCAAAAAGGCGTTATTTAAGACCTTGTGCTTAGAATAATGTCCCTTTTGGATACCTATATAGAGCTACTACATTTGAATCATTTTGCAGAGCTCAAGAATTGATGCTAAGAGATGGTACTTTAAAACAAACCATTAATGGCGTTCAAAATGAGATAAGCTTTTAAACAATACTATTTCAAGATTTATACTGAAACTACAAGGAGTTCAGCTTTGCTCAGGAACAGTAAGTTTTAGTACCTGTAACCTGTTGGGACATTGTTACAGAGATACTTCTTTACCTAAATAGACAAACAGAATGACCACAATGGGCAAAAAAACCAATGTGAGCAGGAGTGACTTCCAGGAATGAATTCCAGGTTCCGGTCTACTTCCCTGTTGAGTTTCCTAATGGGAAAACCAGCAAGAAGCATCCTTCCATCCAACCAATTTAAACTTTGTACCAGCTTTCTCACTGACTTAATAAAAAATAATACATGCCACACAGGTTGAGAAGTGTGCATGAGGGTGTGTGAAAGGTCCAGCTTGGGATGGGAAGACAACATAAAGTGTGGTGCGGAGTTGAAGTCCACCAGGCTTAAAGTTGCCAAGGTTGGAGACGCCTGCACTAAAGCAATGTTTCTCAGCCTTGGATAGGTTATTCTGGCCAGGCTTAAAGTTGCCAAGGTTGAAAAACACTGCACTAAATTATTTCTCTTCCCAATCACCCTTTGGGACTCAAATGTTGTCTAGTTAAAGGTAAGTACATTTTGCTGTTAGTCAAAACATTTATATTGTCTTCTCTGAGTGGCAGGCTCATAATTAATCCAACAACAGTATAAAGAATCAACTACAGAGTGGGCATTATATTCTGATTTCTGAATGCAGACTTAAACTTGCAATAGGAATTCAAGAAATTAAACATGTAGTACATCTTTAAAAAAAAAAGTGACCGCTCAAGGATTTTAGCACAGTCCGAAAAATGAACTGCAACACTTAGGGACGACACACCTCGGTTATCAATCCCAACCTCGGGATGAAAGACAGACTCTAAAAAGGATTTAATGCCCATGATTCAGAGAAAGCAATCAATTTAGCACTGCTACCCACACTTTTCTTGGAATAAACCCCTCTAATAAAGAAAGAGGTAGTTCTAAGATAAGGCTACACAAGAGGCATTTTGCTCTTTCTTACAAACACCCTGTTTGTACTTTCAAGTCAAAGGGGTGACTTGCCTCATTTCAATTCCTCTCCTCAAACCGCAAGCCTTGATCCACAGGAAGGATTCAAAAGAGACTTTGTCCGGGGCTTGACAACACGAGGATGGATTGCTATTTTCTCCCAGATTAAGGCAAATGCCCAGGAATAGTTTTAAACACGAGGTTTCCCGATCCCTCCACTCCTTCCCGTTCAATCGTATCCAAATCTCGGAGACTGCTTGAACAAAGTCTGCGGTGTTATTGTTTTTTGGGGCAAGGTGTTTTTTTCCCCCCCCACCTTCCCAAAAGTGGTTTGCCATTGCCTCCTTCCTGGGGCTGAGAGAAAGTGAGGCGGCGGCAGGCAACAGGTTACCCCACCACCACCACCACCACCACTACCAAGCCTTTGAGAATGAATCACCCCTGGACTTTTTTGCGCAAGAAGGAGGAAGCCGAAGAAGCCGGAAAGCCGACAAAGTAATTTAGGGGGGAAAGGAGAGCACCGTTTCCCTTCCCGCGGATCCCGCCTTTGAAAGCAACGCAGCGCAAGTGCGCCCTCCCCGCTTATGGGGCAGCTTCTTCTTCCTCCTCCTCCTCCTCCTCCTCCTTCTCCGGGCAAGGCGGAATCTCCCCGGCGGGAGGGCGGCAGCGAAACCTCGTCGGCTTACTTACACACACAGAGCTCCACCACGTAGGCGTAATAGGACCAGGCCACGACCAAGGCGATGAAGACCACGGGCACCCACGCCAGCACCTTCTGGCAGCACTTGAGGACGTGCGACGGCGCCATCTTCCCCGCCGCTGAGCTGCCGCTACCGCCCGCAGGAGCCATGGGTGCCGCAGCCGCTTCTCCGCCCGCCGCCTTCTCCGCTCGCCGCTGCGGCGATGCCTGCCGCCGGCCCCCGCCCTTCCTTCCCTTACGCTAAGGGGGCAGGGCCTGGGCGCGCCTGCCTTGCGCAGCAACTCCCGAGGACGGAGAAGGCAGCGCGGCGAGCGTGAAGGGAGAAAGCGGCGGGCGGCAGCAGTAGCAGCTCCTCGCCGCTAAGACTGCGGGAGTTGGAGGGCGTGTGTGCGGGTCTTCTAGCCGTCTCGTCCGCCGTGTCTTGACCCGCCCGGCCGTCCTTCTCACGTAGACCCAAATCGCCGCAAGCAGCCCTCGTGGCTGAAGGAAAGAGGCGGCTCCTCTGCGCGATGCCTGGCCGGTCGCGGCGGGTATTTCAGACGTTCTCGGACGCCATTCCCTTTGGGGATTGGCCGAAGGGTGGGGGGATCCTCAAGAGCTGGGATCGCTTTCTTCTTCTTCCCTCTTAACTCGACCGGTGGATCCCGTCCGGGAGAAAAAAAAACCTCCCTGAGCGATCCTAGTGCCTTCCTCGGAAGGGTGTTGTTCCTAGACAGGCAAGCTTGAGTAGGTCGGGATAAAAAGTCACAGGCAGGGTGGAAGGTCGAACTTTGGCTGATCCCTGAAGCTAAACTAACTTTAGATGATCAAATAGATCACATTCGAATAATAAAGTCTGCCAATCCTGGGTGGGTCCCTTCCAGGGGTGAAATCCAGCAGGTTCTGACAGGTTTTGGAGAACCGGTAGCGGAAATTTTGAGCAGTTCGGAGAACCGGCAAATACCACCTCTGGCTGACCCCAGAGTGGGGTGGTAATGGATATTTTGCAGTATCCTTCCCCTGGAGTGGGTTGGGAATGGAGATTTTGCAGTATCCTTCCCATGCCATGCCCACCAAGCCACACTACATCTACCAAGCCATACCCACAGAACCTGTAGTAAAAAAAATTGGATTTCACCACTGGTCCCTTCCCTTGGGAATTGTAGGGCTTTAGGCTAGACTGGGCAGTCAAAGGGGGGGGGGAATCAAGGGCAAGGTTTTAGGTGATGTTGCGAGATGGCCATTTTGCTGTCTACCTTGATTTGTGAATGTGGGAAAAGGGTGAAGTCTCAGTGGGTGGCGACGCCTAGTTGGGCATGGCTTATTTTGACAGTTCAGTAGGATCAGATCTGGGTGATACTCAAAATAGGAGACCCGCTCCTAGGGCTGCATGCTCCTTTTAGGAAATAGAGGGAGGGAATCTGCTTTTCATCCATGAACCCCACATGGCATAAATAACATTACCCCCCCTCCTATTTTTCTTGTGAAGTTGCCAAGAAAACTTATTTGGATACTTCATGAAGTTGGCAGGAGTTAACTTTAGGGTTATGCCAGTTTGTCTTTATGAAGGCAGAGTGGATGTAACAGAAAGCTAAACATGTCAAGAATCATTTTCTCAAACCTGGACTTCTCAAAAGTGCTGGTAGCCAGTCCTACTGTTAGGTAGAATGAAGCATTTGGAGGACAGTGCTGGTTTGGAAACCAGCCTAGTTCTGTGACTGTTTTGTTTTGTGCTTCTGCAGTCACACTTGGTCAGAAGATACAGAGTAAGATATGCCATCCAAACATACCAATAGTCCAGCCATCTCATCTGCTGCCTTTCATCTGGTATATCAGTCAGCTACTGTATGTGAAAGCGAAGGCATTTTGGTAGAAGCTAGGTTACCCTTTTTGTTTTGCAACACATGAAACATTTAATTCATCTTTATGAAGTACAAAGATGTAATTAAGCTTCATCTTCATAATTAACCCAAGAATAAGATGTAGAACATGGTTCCATATAGACATCTAGTGATTAAAGTCTGTAACATTAGTGAATGATGAATCATACAACTCTGTTATATATTGTCAAGTATTTGCAAGCCATTGGCACATGTGTCATATAGACACCAGTGGAGGCAGAGAGTGTCTCCACCCGTGTGGAAAGGAGGGGCTTACCCTGAGTATAAAACCCCCTCCAATGTTTTCCACCTTGCTCTCTCCATCTCTCTTTTCATATTTGTTCCTCATGAGACTTGATCTCTGTTGTACATAGTTAATATGATTTATCATATGAATAAATACGTTTAAGACATTTATTTATGCATCTGCCTCTGAACTCTTCTATGATCCTGGGTGTTTCTACGATCCCAATTCCACATATATGCAGTGTGTTAGCGCTGATATCAAAATAAATGTTGGTTCTCACTGCAACTGATAACTGCATCCTATAAAATTTAAATATAAAACAACCCATTTTGCAGGGTTTAGAACCTGAGACAAAGTGATGATCCCAGCAACTATGGGCACTGTTGTTTAAACTACTAAATCAATGACTTAAATTGCCTAAGGGATCGTATTCAAATAAAGTGTGTACTGTTTTGTATTGCATCAATTCCCTTCCCCATCTCTGCTTTCAGAAAAGGCATCAAGGTAAATAATTTCAGTTTAACCTTTTGAACTACATTAGTAAAAGTCTTATTTTGTTATTGCTATGATAACATAACAATTGGTTCCAATTCGTTATCTTAATGTTTTAAATTATTTTTGTATTTATTTAGAACTGGAAGCCTTGTATAGTTTATTTGGAAGGTAAAGCAATATTATTCATAATCACAATCCTTTTTTAAAAACTTCATCCCATTATACAGTGTCAAGGATATTCTTGTGCAGTTTTTCAACCTTAGTAAGTTTTACGATGTGTGGACTTTCACTGCCAGGATTTGTCAAGTCAATTCTGTGCATTCCTCTAATCAAAATAAATGTTACCAGCACTTGGGGTGCACTGAGTCTAACTGCTATAGCTCATCATCCTGCTCCATCTCTCACTTCTTGTTGTGTTTATTTAGCCAGGCTAAATTTGGTCTATTAATTTTAAAATTCTCAATACATTTGTTCAATTCAGGTAAAGGATGCGTATAGTCACTCTTAGCTGAGCTTACAAACTCAGACATCTTTCCAGAAATATTCATGTATTGTTATTTTCTTTTGGCATACTCACCTGCAATGCTATTATTGAAGAATGAGACATGCTCCACTTATAAAATGTAGTTTCTTGTTATTGATCTGTTGGTGAGGTCTTAGCAGACTGGATTAATGGAAATTTACAACCTGTTGAAATACCGTAGCATTTGTAAGAGCTGTATAAAGAGTGTCTACTTTCTCAGTATGTGCTTACCCTATAATCTTGGTCAACATTTTCATCTTGCAAAGTAGGGATGTGCTACACTTTGTGGCTATACACATTACATATGTTGACATCTTCAACAAGGACATGAAATATCATTATCCCAGTCTACTTCTGAGCGTCTTTTCAGCAACCTAAGAAACAGCAACATTCAAGGATCCTAAAAGATATTCATATACAAAATCCCACTGTAAGCATGTTATAGGAGTGCTTAAAAACTCATTGCTTTGGTTAAGGTTGTTATCATCACAAGAATCAAAAAAGACAAGGCCCAAAAGAGAAAATTAAGACCTATTTAACAATCCAAAGGGATTTAGGGATTTATATTGAACTGTATATTATAGGTGCCTTTGATCAGTGCCTAAGGGGTAGAATCATGAAAGTAATTTAGCAGTTATCTCATTATTTTAGAAATTGTCAATTTAATCTTTGCAAATATGGACAATAAATAAGGAAGGGAAGATAAAACACAAGGCTCCCCCTTGTGGGAGTTTGTTATTTATTTTCAAATATAGAAATATACTTTAAGAAGATGTTGGATAACCATTTATCTGAAGTGGAGTTGGGAGTTGGGAGCAGGGAGTTGGACTAGAAGACCTCCAAGGTCCCTTCCAACTCTGTTACTCTATTCTATTCTATTCTATTCTATTCTATTCTATTCTATTCTATTCTATTCTATTCTATTCTATTCTATTCTATTCTATTCTATTCTATTCTATTCTATATAGATTTGCTTGCCTCAAATGCAAGCATAGGAAATGAACACTGTGGGTCCGGTCTTTGAAACAATGTCATTGTTAAAACTTATGTAATACATACTGAGTATGTATTCTCAGTGGCAGCTTTGGCCTTTCGATGAGTCTTTTGATATACAGCATGTCTTTCACCCTCTAGGCCTTTAGGAAGATGGTTAATATCTGGGTCTTTACCCTAAGCCTTCGGACCAGAATGAGTACAGCTCCCATTTTCTGGAGGTATAGTATTTCAGCCATGTTTGCCATTGTCTGCCTTTTTAACATTATGTTTTATTATATAAAAATACTATTTATACTTCCTTACACTTGCCGAATCCCAGCTGAGTATACTGAGTATCTGAGTATAATCCCATGATATTGTTTGGGTAGGTTAATTTTAATCTTCCAAATTATCTTTTCCATGCAGTCGATGAAAATAGAGGTTTTGGTTGCTTTTTCAGCTATAAATCAATGAAAACAATAGCAAGGCATTTAACTTCTGAAGAAGAAAAGACATACATTAAAACAATTACAAACCATGGAAAGAAATGTATCTCACTATTTTGAGTTTGGTTATTTCTCCTCTCCCTACTCTACTTTTCAATTTTTGTCCTGCTGTCAATCAAAATTTAGATTAAGACATCTAGTGTAGGGATCTAATGGGTTCCCTCCACCCCCAGCTTTTTACTCGCATTAATGCAGAATATAAAAGATTTGTGCTTACCATGAGTTATTTATGAAGTCACTGTGTCTCTACAGTTGCATTACATAGTCCCGAATTCAATGAAATACTGTTTAAATGTATCTGGAAGCTTATGAGGGAAGGCATATTCTTGGCATCTGTTGTTGATTTTCAGGTATTGACTGTGGAAAAGAATTATTTTCCCAACTATGCCTAGTATATTAGCTTAGTCTGTTCCTAGAAAATAAAAGCCCGACGTCTTCTGTCCAAGTTTTAATAATATTTTTCCCAGCTTGATGCCAGATTCAAATCCTAGCATGAGTCATACTGACTGAAATTCATGAGGGCTGTAACTGAAGATGCATGCAAATGATCAGCGCTACCAATTCTTCTATGTAGATGTTGCAGATACTTTAGATCAGGGGTGTCAAACTCAAGGCCTGCGGGGTGCTTAAATCTGCCACATGGAGCTGGCCTGGAAATAGCAAAGGACTGGCCCGCAGTGCCTCTGGCAGCCAAAATGGGGCACGGGGGGCTCCCCATTTTTGGTCTGGACAACCTGCAGCACTCTGCCAGCAAAAACAGGGCACGGGGAGCCACGTACGCACCCCATGCCCCATTTTGGCCGTCCCATCTCCCTGCCCCCCCCCCGCCGTCCCATGGAGAACAATGATGATCTAGCCCTCGAAGAAATCCAGTTTGACACCCCTACTTTAGATGCTGCAGCTTGTCAGCATCCAGGCTTCCACATCCAGGCTTCCAACTGGAATTGATGTAGGTGAGAATGTTCTCCCAGGTCTCAAAAGAAGATCTGGATAGAATTCTATGGACTGGTTTGGATCTGTGTTCTGACTATTCCATGTTCTGTCTTCTCCATGTTCTATTACTTATATATCTGCAAAGGATAACGCCATGGATAGAAAGTTTATTAGATGATAAGTAAGTCTAGTGCTCTTGTAGTACAGTTAGTTCTCAAGTTATGACCATAATGGAGCCTGCCTGTCATGGTTGTAAGTTGTGATGGTTGAAAATTTTTAAAATTTTGCAACTTCTTTTGCAGAGTTAAGCAAACATCATGGTTGTTAAGTGAACCAACGCTGGGCTACAAGTGCGGTTTTGCCAAAAGTGCAAGTTTTGGCAAAAGCATCATAAAATGCAATCATGTGACTGTGGGATGCGGTAAATGACATTAAATTGCCAAGCACCTGAAGTTCAGTCAGTTAACTGTGGAGGGGTGATAGTCGGAACTTAGAATCTGGGTCATATGGAGCCCCTCAGTATGTCTGTTGTAAATTTGAATGGTTGCTAAGTGACTAGTCATAAGTCAAAGAGAACCTGTAACAGTAACAGAGTTGGAAGGAATCTTGGAGGTCATCTAATCCAACCCCCTGCTCACGCAGATCTGTACTGGGGATTTGAACCGCCGAACTGCCGACCTTTCTCATCGACAAACTCAGTGTCTTAGCTACTGAGCCACCTAGTCAGGTATTATATACCTGTAATAATGTCTTAGTATTTACACTGAGAAATTAATATTAGGAACCATAACCATAATTTGATATTGTTAATCAGGAAACCTGAAGTTGGAACAGTTGCTTATTCAAACCATAAACCTCTGTCTTAATATTACACTACTATCAAAGAATTTCAAGATAAACTAATAAATATTGTTTGGAATTTCAAGTTTAGACACAGCTGAAACTAGTAATGCTACTGGTGAGATTGATCATGTAAATACATATACTGTAGCACTGTCTTGCAGAAATGGCTCTGCTGTAACATATTACATTTGAACTTACCAAATAAAGGAAGAAGCAATGCTGTAGATAATGTGTATGTACGTGGAGAAATAAGGGGATTTTAAAAAAATTATCATATTTAGGCCAATAATTGCATTCTTCATTCTTATCATTGTGTTTTCTGCATTCAAAGCTGTATATAATTTTCTGTTGAAGATATCCCAGAATGGTAATTATGCAAGACAGAACCACGAATAATAACTTAACAATATTAGTTACATCTATTTATTTAATAGATTTATATGGCAGCCCAACTCACAACAGTGACTCCGGGAGTTTTCAAAACGCAAAGCTTAAAACTCCAAGACCACCATCCCATGGCCAGAACAATTATAATCACACTAGGCACTTAATTGGTTGTCTATCAGACTGGAATTCCCAGGCCCACTGACAGAACTATGGCCTTCCAGAAAGGTAACAAGGTGGCAATATATTTCAAGTAATCATAGTTCTCTGTAGGGGTATCCAGTGGTGGGATTCAAGTAATTTAACAACCGGTTCTCTGCCCTAATAATTTCTTCCAACTTCCAGTTGGCCAAACTGCTCAGAAAGTTAACAACCGGTTCTCCCAAAGTGGTGCGAACTGGCTGAATCCCACCACTGGGGGTATCCAAATGTTTTCATCATTAAACAGCCTAGAAATGTTCTGAATCCTAAAGTTATTTCAAATCCAGAAATCCATTTAAGTTTGTAGCCTTCCCAAATAGAAACATCTATTTTGTTCATCTCTATTAACGTCCAGGTAGTGTCAGGCAACACTAGAAATATTTATAGCATGGCTGTAAATCTTGGTTCTCCAGACACTTAACTCCTATAATATCCACAAATCAGCTTATTCAAGTTTTTTTTTTGCAGACAAGAATGAAGTAGATTTTGCCACTGCAATATAAAGAAGTAAAAAAAATTGATATATAGACCTATGCCCCAATCCTATAAATCCTATGCTTTTTAAATATGATCATTCTTTTCATGATCTTGGAGGCACTTTGTCTATGTGACAGAATGGTTCTCTTGGGCCTCAAATTGCTGCTCCTGCCTTACTAATTTAATTTCTTACAGATAGTACAGCATTCTCTGATATGGCCAATTTATCATCATCATCATTGCAATCATCATTTCTCCTCAATGTTACATTTAGCTAGTGCTATTATACTGTAGTAAGACATAGAAATGGACTACACTTATCTAAATGTTAAGTGCTATTTTTTGGATCCGCTTTTTCTCTGTGACAATGAGTAGGCAATAATAGTTAACAAATAACTCTTCCCCAATATTTTTTTATGATCAGCTGAATAAATTACAATCAGGTATAAAGCACTTTTTTTAAAGAAGTAAAAAAAAAAATCAGGAAATGAATCAACATCAATATTTAAAAGTAGCCGAAGCAAAAGTCAAATTATACTGACCTCTGAGATTCTAGATAGTGCAAAACGAATACAATTAAATGACAATGATTTGAAGAATGCATAGCAATGGGATGTGTGTTATCCTAGTTACAAATATTGTTGGTATTCTAACAATATTTCTTGCTGTAGAACTATATGGGATCATAGCACTAACTAACGAATATGCAAAGGATTATTTATCCAAAGTAGCACACGGTAATTGTACAGTTATGTTTCCTTCAGTTTCAGTACAGTTCATTGGCTTCAAAAGAACAAACATATTACAGAATCAGCAAAATCTACTGAAGTATTATGATGCTATAATTGGTGTCAATAAACGTTCAACATAATCCCATGTGTTTACTTAAAAATAAGTCCCACAAGGTGCAATTCAGCAGTTTTGGTATCATAGACTATCATTATTGTGAATTTTGATGCATCTTAATATATAGAATCCAAGAATATTCTTTGCATCCACTTCAACTGCCAGTCCACTTTAATATTTTCCAATTCCTTTAGGATGATTTAAGACATTCACCAGCCAGGAACAATGATTTTAGGATTTAAGTTTAATGCATTCAAATTACTGAACTGTTTACTCTTCAAGGTTCCCATAACCAAAATATTTAACTGTTTGAATAAAGGCCATTGTTTGAATGACCCCAGTGGACTTGCCAAGATCCAAATACAGAAGAACGATGGGATGTTACAGGACCAATTATCTAGAGAGCTAAGTATTTCTGGTGAAGAATGTCTAGGGATATTTTTGCGACAACTATGGGCTGAATGATTGAGAATCTCCATAGACATTTAGCCATGAAATTTCTAGTTATGTTTTTAATCATAGTATTTGTGGGGAGAATCTCATTAGAGGTGATTTGCATAGAGTAACGTAAAAGAAATAAGGCTACAATATCTGGGCTAGTTACTGCAGTAGCAAAAAGATATAGCTATAAATCACTCCTTGCTCATTTAAAACAGATTAATTTGAACTCTAAAGGCAGCCATGTTTAAAAACTAAACTTTATTCTGTGGCGGTCAGGCAGAAAACATAACTTATGTAGATGCATGCTTTTAAAAAATGAATTTTTCATGACCAGCCTCGGGAAAGTTAGTGGAGTGAAAAACAGTCACTTCAACATGTATGTTCCTCTCTTTGCTCTGGGAGATGAAGAGATGACTCTTCTGTCATTTTAACAACATTGCAACTCTCCTATGAAAATGGCTGGCTTAAATACAAGTGATTGGCCCAAAGTTGCCCAATAAATGTTAAAACTGTGAATGAAGGCTTCCTTGGTCCTAATCCAACCTTTAGCCTATATACTACACCGGAAGTATAATATGCTATTAATATTCATTCATAGCTCAAGTCAAGCAATTATTACAGAGAGTTGTCAGGGATTTAAACAATGGATGTGATGGAACTTGACAGTAGGCAAATCAATATATAGTACCTATATAATGCTAACATTCGTTTTCTTTTAATGACTTCACTGTGTTTAGCTTCTAATCTTTGTACACTTGTGCAATTTACAATCTTCCAGCTTATGTAAACATTTTGGTATTTCCAGCTTACAGTGAAAGATGCAAACCCCTGTGCAAACAGAATAAAGTACAGAATACATGAAGAATGTAATAAAAACTGGTCTCCAAATGCAAAAATATTTTCAAATGTCTATAAGGTTCTGTGTTCTAAGAATACCTTTTGCTGACTAATTTCTTACCTAGAATTTATATTGGATATTTAAAGCTCAAAAACTTGTAAAAATTCCATTGCATTCCATTGCATTGTTGTATTTTTCATACTTTTCTTTCCTTTAATTCTTAAAAATGGGGATGTTCCCATGTGTGCTATGAAACTTGCCTTTAAAAGATATTTCCTGATTTACAACCAGTGGTGCATTGCTCCCAGTTCACCCCGGTTCGGCCGAACCAGTAGTGGCGGTGGCGGGAAGCTCCGGCCACCCACCATCAAAAATGCTCCGCGCATGCGCAGAAGTGCCGTGCACGCTACTGATAGCGAACCAGTAGTGCAACAACCATTTGTTTAGCAAGTATTCAAAGTTATAACGGCACTGGAAAAAGTGACTTATGACCTGTTTTCACACTTACGACCATTGTAGCATCCTCACGATCAAAATTTAGGGACTTGGCAACTAGCATTTGTAATCTTCCCAGCTGGCTTCTGACAAGTGAAGTCAATGCGGGAAACCAGATTCATTTAAGAACCACACAATTCACTTAACAACTCCAGCAATTCATTTAACGACTGCCGCAAAAAAGTTGTAAAATGGGGCATGATTCACTTAACAAATGTTTTGCTTAGCTATGGAACCTTTGGGCTCAATTATGGTCGTAAGTTGAGGACTATCTGTACTAAATTCCAGATAGGCTGGAAAACTATCCATCTGTGAGAACATGAGTACCATCCAAAATAATCCTAAAGCAAATTCTATTGCTGTAGGGATGTGCAAAGTGTTCTATGCATGGAAGGACTAGTTTCAGGTGGTCTGCCACAGGATCAAAACTAGCATATTTAAAAGAGAAATGCTTTGGGGAGAGACAGAGAGAGAGAGAGCAGGAAAAGGCCAATGAGGTTGCAGGCAAAGGAGGCAAGGAAAGGAAGGTGGATACTAAAAAGTGGATGGATCAATTGCATATGCTGCATTTGAAGCCAAGCAAGCTGGAAATGGTAGTGGCAAAGGGGAAGGGAGGAAAGGAAGGTAGATATGGTACTGATTTGGGCTGGTGGTTATGTCATGATTGAAGCCAAGGACATCAGCAGCTAAGGGCAAGGAACAGGAAGGGCTGGGAAGAGCAACAGATGGGCCATTTGCTAGAGGAGCCATTTGCTAGAGGAGGGGAAGAGGGCCAAGCTAAGAAAGCGCCTCCCAGTTTTGTTTCAGTTAAAATACAACCAAAAGTGCTTTGGGGGTTTCAGTTCTATCAAACTGCAGCACCCCTGAATGATTCCGAAACACAAAACGCATTTTTTTTTTTCATGCCCACCACTATCAAAATCAAATAATGGAAGTGTCCGATATTTAATGGTATTAAATGATTGCACTTCGTCTAGGATAGCCAATCTGTAAACCAATACATGAAAAACAAAGCAGAATCAGAAAGCTGAGTCACAAACGATCTTACAAATACATTTAAAAAGGACTCTTCCCAGTTTGCTTCCAAACTTCTTTTGCTCCTTTAATGGTTTCTTGTTTCACACATTTCCAGTAACCTTGGACTCCTTGTTGCTGAGGCACCTGTTTAAAAAAAGTAACAGTTACCAATCTATATTTAAGTTATGATTTTTTTAAGGCTGGCTACATTGGGTAAAGTCAGCTACTCAGATCCATCTGTCAGTTAACCTTTCCTACTGGTCCAAACACATTTACCTGATTGCAGGACACATTACTTTCGTCTTGGTTAATCATCTATAAATGAACCTATCACAACCACAAGTATTTTTTTGTGGTTGGAAGCTGCTGGACAAATGAATCCTCCTTTATGATTAGGGATGATCTATAAATCATGACAGGAGGGAGCAATTCTAAAAAGGCACTTCTGCAGTTTAGCTGTTTTATGATTAGATATGACATACAAATGCAGCAGGGCCAGCCTGCTCTACTTTGTTGGGCAGGCTGGCACTATCCACTACTTGCCTCTTTCCATTTAGCCATTTAATTATTTTGTAGGAAGAGCTAAAACTTGAATAAAAAGAGCCTTGGTGGCGCAGCAGACTAAAGTGCTGTTAAGTAACACCAGCTGCCTGCAATTACTGCAAGTTCAAATCTCACCAGGCTCAAGGTTGACTCAGCCTTCCATCCTTTCAAAGGTAGGTAAAATGAGGAACCGGACTTTGTATAAAAAAGAACACCGCTTAGGGGGGGGCCCAAAAGCCCTACTAAGCAGGTATATACAAAAGTATGAAGGCTATTGCTTAATGCATTGTAAGCCGCCCTGAGTCTCTGGAGAAGGGCGGCATATAAATCGAACAAATAAATAAATAAATAAATTCGCTTATTTTTGACTTTCTTCCCCATCATCCTAGGGCCGTGATGGCGAGCCTATGGCACGCAGAGCCCTCTGTGGGCATGCTGTCGCCAGCTGCTTTTCTGGTTTACAGCGCGCGCATGCACATTGGCCAGTTGTTCTTCACGCACGCCAGAAACCTGAAGACCTGGCCAGTGTGTGTGTGCGCGCACACACACACACGTTCCAGTTTGGGTACTTGATGCCCAAAAGATTCACCATCACTGTCCTAGGGCATGTATTTGACATAAGTCATCATTTAAAAATGCTTTTAAGTACACAATTATCTACTTTCCTTTTATTCTTTTACTCATTACCACCATTAGAAGCTTTGGGATCAGCTGCCTTAAGCAATTTGTATACCAGCTAACCTCCTATTATAAACTGCTTGTTTTAATATGATAAATTTTATTTTATAAATGCATATTTATAAAGCTGATAAATATTTTAAAAAAGACTCTACTAGGTCATATAAGCTCTCTGTGTATAAGCTCTCCTTATTTTATTAAAACTGAGGCAATTCGACATTTCTACTGAACATTTGAGAACAGAATTACCCTTAATCCACGATGCATCCTGTTTTTGAGGACTCCAAGGAACTCTGCGTGGCTGAGGCAATTATCTCCATCTAAATCAAAGATCTTGAAGATGGTGTCCAAAACATTATCTGAGAGCTCCTGCCCTGTAGCCACTTTCACAGCTCTCTTGAACTCCGCTAACACAAGCAAAGATATTTCATGTTTTTATTAAAAATAATAACTAGATTTATAATTCTAAAGAATAAAGGAATCTGAGAACTTTATACTCGTCTAATTAATAGTGTGATCAGAAAATGGGTGTCCATAGCCATGCTTAAACAGCTATGTAGCACTGTATTTATTGAAGAAAAATTACTTCTATTTTCACAGAAGTGGAACCAGTTACTTTATGGAAAACAGCTAGCTTTTTACCTGAATCTGCTTTTTGAGCACAGAAATTTGCCCAGTAAACAAACAAACAAACAAAAAATTGAATTACAATATTTTACCTGGAATATTGTAACTCCTTTTTACATTTCTGAAGGAATTGTTATTTTCCCCTCGAGTATATGTATTCTAAAAGATTTATGAAATCAATCTATAATTAAAATTTTCTTGAGTTTGCTTTTCTTTGCCTTTGCCTTGTAAGGCCTACACTAACTGCAATAGAAAGTCACTCCTTACAATCATGCTTTATGACAATATATAGAAGGCTGGGAAGGAAAATAACCAAAATGCAATGTAATTTTAAAAAATCAAATCCATATCAAATGGGGGGTTTTATGCATTTTTAAAAGGATATAACAATTCTGTACTAGCAATGGATTAACAACAGATGATGAGGGGAAAAAGAGCATTACTATAAAGCAAACCAAAGATGTTGTTCATTTTTGGATTCTATTGTCTTATAATTTCTTATTTACATAAATGGCAGCAGCAAATTGATCCCATGTTTACTTGTTAAAGGTTCAGCTTTGTAGTAAGGTTTATAAATGCTATTTCACATACTATACTTCATATATGCATTCCAGTTTGTCACTTCTTTTTTAAAGAGATTTTTAAAAAAGAAGAAATATACTTAGTTTTTGATAGAGAAAACCCATATACAACTAGCCACACTGTATAAATATTTGTTTTATACAGCAAAAAGTGTGGATCTTTGTAAGAGCTTTTAAATGTTCTTTTTTTAGTTCCCTTTTTTAGGAGGGGTCAAACGAAGATTCTAAACAGAGTTTTTTGAAAGCTTTGATTGCAAGATATGTTTTAAAGGTAATGTTATTTATTCTGTTTTCCAAATCGGATCAACAGTTTGGAAGAGCCTTGTTCATGCTCAAGAGCTATTTTTCATTAATTAATTGAGAAAGCATCCACTGGTTCAATTTTCTAAATCAACTCAAACTGCTGAACTGGACCAACAGTCTAAATTGAATGGATGATTTGGACTGAAACTGATCTGCACACCTCAGTTCTACTATTATTCTAGCATAGCGGCAAAGCACACGGTACTATTTTAATTAAAGAAACTTCTAAATATATTTTATTACAGTTCATCTTAAAAAAAAAAACAAAAACGAAAGGAGGCATCTTCCAATATTTTTTTTTTTAAAACCTCCAAAACTCTTGGTGACCTCATAGACACATCCATATATTTTTCTTGGCAGCAATGCAGAAAAAAGCTTTGTTTTCCTCTTCCTTCCAGAACCTCACTAGACCTGATGTTGTTTAGCTTCTGAGCCCAGACAAAGCCGAGGTGGTGTTGCCACCTACTGAGATTCCAGTTAAAAATCAGGTAGCAATATTGACTGGAAATCATTTATTTTTCCATTTAGAAACAATTTCCACTATTTTCCTTTGTGCGTGCTAAGAGATGGTGATTTGTCATCTCATAGCTGTCATAATACATAGTGAGGGACTGACATATAACGCATAAAGTTCAAAACAACTTTATAAAGCAAAATTGACATAATGGGGACATTTTCAGAATCCATACACATTATCTTTTCATTTTGATTTCATGAAGAACGATGAAGTGGTGCACTTCTTACCCCGTTTAACTGGACGGCTGGCTACAGTAAACATTTTCAGAGCAATTGAGAAATCTTCTAAACGGTTTGTAAATTGGCAGAAAGTCTTAAATTCATCCATACTGATACTCTAGAATACCAAAACGGGTGAGATGTTTAGTCAAGACAGCAAAATCCAGGTGTATTCATAAGGGAGTTGTCAAATCACTATATAACTACGTACAAACAAAACAACTTGATTATATTTTGTTGTACTTTAGAAAGCTCTTCAGTTATATTATAGATGCTTAATTCAATATGAGGCAATTTATACCAACCTCTCCTGCTTGGATTCTCTCTTTCACATTTTGCCAATAAATTTCATTATTTTCTTCATCAGTGAAATACAGCAACCACTCTACAAAATCTTCCTTTCTCATGAAGGTCAGGCCTTTGGAAAACTGATTGAATTCCATTTCTTGCACTTCTGCTTGTAAATCCTGCATAAATCTAAAATAAATAAACAAATAATATGACAGCTTAGTTAAATGCAGAAAAGGGCAACCAAAAAGATCAGGTGCTTGAGAGCCTTCTCTATGAGAAAAAGCTAAAATGTCTGGAGCTCTTTACTATGGTAAAAGGTGATTGAAGCAGACATGATTGAAGTACTACCAGTAAATATAAAATCATATATACCATATATATATATACTGTACAAAGTAAAAGAGACTTTATCTCACCCTCTTGAATCAGTCTGACCTGGGATCCTCCAATAAAGCTGAACAAAAAGAAACTTGGAACTGTCCAAAAGTATTTTTCAAAAATACTTTTGTGAAAAATAGAGTTGTAGAATTAATTACCATGAGACATGGTGATGACTGCCAATGTGGATGCCTTTAAAAGGGAATTAGATAAATTCATGGAAGGCAGGCCTATCAAAGGCTTGGGAATCAGTGCTATTTCTGGGATGGGAGCAACATGTCAGCTTTAGGGGAGAAATGGTATGAGAAGGCGAAGTCTTCACTTCCTGCTTAAAAGCACTCCAGAAGCATTTTGGTTGCCAAAACTAAATGTTAGATTAAGATTTCCTTGGACTGATCCAGCAGAATTATCCTTTTGTCAAGACAATTATTTTCATACCGCATTTTTAGCCAAATAATACTTTACTCTTATCAACTGATGGTACTGTGTAAATAAAGAGTATCCTCTTAGAGTCACTGTTGTAGGAGAATGCAACATACAGACTGTTAGCTTCCATCTCCTAACAGCAACAACTTTCATTACTTCCGTGTTGCAGAATAACAGAAATTATGCCAAGAGGGCAGAGTTCTGTGAGCTGTTGACTAACACAAGTTGAGTAAAAGAAATTACTAGGTTTTAAAAGTTTGCAATCTTAAATACACAGCTGGAAGAAATTAATAAATGCCATGAATTACAAAAATATTGTGCTTCAGCAAGCCTACCACTAGAGTGCTCTCTAAATTCATCTATGTTCATGAGTAACTAGGCTGAAAAAATGTTGGTATCTGCAATTTTTAAAAAGTTGCCTGAATGTGAAAGCAGACTTAAATATGAAAGTAGATAATGTGCACATATACTTTAATTAAAATCTGTTTAAAAAGAGACAAACTTTTAAAAGATGTAAGTAACAGAAATGAGAAATTGTTTGCTATAAAATACTCTTGTTCAAACAACCTAATGTTACTCTTATTCAAAATTTTGCTAACAAATGTATTATGAATATCAATGAAATACAAATTTGGTTATAGAATGACCATCAGAGAAAAGTCATTTATATCTATATTCATAGAGAGAGAGATCTAGGCTTGCATATCAATTTTTATTTATTTTTGTATCAATTTATGAACTACATAGTACACTTGCAGAGTGGGAATTAATTTATTTATTCAATTTCTATAGCTACCATCTTAAACTAATAGAAATAGATAGAAGGAATAGATCATACATCCAGCTCTTGCTTATCAATGGAGACCGAGTGGAGCAATTGGCCAGTTTTAAGTTTCTGGGTGTTATCATAAAAGAGGACCTGACTTGGGCACTCACATTGCAGCACTGATCAAAAAGGCCCAGCAGAGATTATACTACCCGAGACTTCTCAGGAAACAATGACTGAATGGAAAATTGCTGGTGACCTTCTACCGCTGCACCATAGATAGTATTTTAACTTACTGCACCTGTGTATGGTTTGCCAGTTGCACAATGGCAGATAGGACAGCGCTCCAGAGGGTCAACATCATTGCCCAGAGGATCATTGGTTGCCCTCTCCCCTCCTTGGAAGAGCTTTATAGCTCCCGCTGCCTTAAGAAAATTCAAAACATTCTTAAAGATCCATCTCATCCTGGGCACCCTTTTTTTGAACTATTACCATCTGGCAGACGGTACAGGATAATAAAAACAAGGACAAATCGGCAGAAAAACAGCTTCTATCCCAGGGCAGTAACTATATTGAATTCTACTGTATAGTGCAATATTAATGCAATATCAGGGGTTTCAATTCAATTGTATAGAACAGCGGTCATCAATTGGTGGCCTGCAGACCACTGGTGGTCTGCGAGAAAAATTTGGTGGTCCGCAGAAAAATGATTTGCATTTTTTATATTGCACTAAATACTATTTATCTTTTTTAAAAATTCATATTAGTTGTCCACGGGATTTAAAATTATGAATTTAGTGGTCCCTGAGGTCTAAAAGATTGGTGACCTCTGGTATAGAATATGAAGGATGTGTGTTTTTATTTTATAGTTATAATGTACACTGAAGATGGCATTTAATTTCATTGTATGAGGTGCAATGACAATAAAGTAAACTAACTAAGTAACTAACTAACTAACCAATGACTCTAACTAAGAACAGGACAGGATGCAGAACAAAATTAAATATATATATGGCAGCCAAGAGAAAATATAATAGGTATCAATATAGCCAGGAAACCATTCATAAACATGGAATTGTATGGATATCTGTACAATTGTTTAATTGAAGAACTTTTGATAAGATTGTTTCCCCGGTATACTACTTTTGCATGTAATGTTCACAAGCTACACATGAACTTGACCTTTTTAGTAATATTTACTTGAAAAACAGAACATAAATTCAGAAAAGTATAATTGTTAATATTTTTAAATTATGTATGATTTCAGGATGCATGTAATAGGGAGTTCAGTGCGGAAAAATTAATTGAAAAATATTGTGGCACCTAGTAAATGAGTAATGTGTAGGTAGGACATCTTCACGATATCACACATTCCCATAGAATATACAATTGGCTGTTTTGTTTAATTAGGTTGTCTTTATCTAGTTTTAGGATTTGTGTGGAGAACATATCACAATTTAGCTCATATTTATGCAGGAATATTGAAAATTGAAGACTTCACCAACTTTTAAACACAAGTTTATCCAGTTTTAGGACTTGTTTAAAGAACATATCACAATTTAGCTCAGTTCACAAACTTTTAAACATCAGTTTATGCAGCTCCGGATTCAATGGAGTTCTTGGTGTTCTCTTGGTGCTGTTGGACATTGGGCAATGCCTGCAAAACGACTAAGCTCAAAAAGCACCAAGAACTCCACAATATTAAGCATTACCACTGTAAGACATAATCAACTCTTCTTACATCTTGAATTATAGGCCTTTCCAAAATATTTTGTGCTGCAACCCAACCAATTCCTACTTGACATCTACCATTTTCTTCATCTATAGCATTGTTCTTTGCACTTCTTGTTTATAGAGAGTAGTCATTTCAGTTCCTTTTATTTTTCTTATGGCATTTTAGACACATCCTACACTCGCTAGTAGCCATTCTTCTCTCCCTCCCCCACTTTTTTTAAAAAAGCCAAATGAACATTTGACAAATTCAAATGTTCCCTGGAGAGAACAAAACATTCCTGTTGCTTCTTGCAAGGTAAGCTGACTGTAGCAGCAGTTTGATTAGGTCGTTCTAGATGGACAGGTTCTATATATCTTTGGCTCTCTTCACAAAAAGAATAAAACAAGAGTGACTGCTTCCTTTATCCACTAGTCTCCTGAGAAAACTGATTTTCTAGGTTCATTTCAATCAGATTTCATTAGCAATTTGAGGATAGAAACTAACAGGCACCCTGTGGAGTTCTTGATATGAAAGAAAACAAAGGCAAATGAGGATAAATGGGGCTGGAACATTGCAGAGGCATGATTATCCGTTTTTAACCACGATGATGCCAAAATGGTGGTAATTGAGGCTTCAGCTCAACTCTAGTAAGACTAAGTGATTGCAAATTTTCTGACTTGAGTGACCTTCCATCTTTATCTCTAAATGGGGTAGCGTGCTCCACAGTTGATATACAACTCAGGGATCCTTCTGTACACGTCCAAAAAACAGGAATAACAGCTATAACGAGGAAGGGTTTTGTACAGGTTCATCTTGTGCACCAATTACACCTGGACCAGGGGACCCAACTTATGGTAGTTCATGCTTTAGTTACTTCTTGGGTGGATTACGTAACAAGGTCTACATAGGGCTACCCTTGAATAGCATTTGGAAGCTGCAGTTGGTCCAAAATGCAGCAGTATGGACTGCGTTGGGCACTTCATGAAACGGCCATGTGACACCTCTGCTTCATACGATGTAGTGACTCTCTTGAGGGTACAATTCAAGTCATTATTACTTATAAAAGGTTCATGGCATGGGGGTCAGGATAATGGGGAGCTGTCGAGCTTGGTAATTTCTACCATTCTTGCAAACTTCAAATTTAGCCCTTCTCAATTTCCCTTCCTATTTTGCATATGCTTGAAAAAAACAACAATGCTAGTTTAAAAGCTTTATTGCCAGCATGAAATCGATAACATGCATATAAGGCAAATTGCCTTCTTAATGGTAAAGAATAAATAAAATGAATCAAGTGCACCATGAAGTAGAAGTCACAAACCGTGTAATGATCTGCTATACAGAAGACTTGCTGTGTAGCATGATTTAAAGTCACTTCTGCATGCTAAGTTTAAATTATGTGTTGCAAAGAACAACAAATCAACAGGAAAAGTGAAAGACTAAATAATAAAGCCTACATTTCATTTCAGTATTTTGAAAAAACAAAATCTCTTAAGCATACATAAGCACCATTAAGCCTTATGAATGAATCTTTCCCCCCTCCCCCATCCACATCATTTTAAGGAATGTAAATTACATAGTTAACAATATCTAAGCTTCTGTGACAGGTTTTAAAGCAGCCTAATCAAATGTAATCACTCCTGCTTTCTCTGGCTACTCCGCTGATCAATGGAAAGCCTTTTTAACAAGAACTTGGAAAATGATAAAAGCATTTACCATCATTTTCCCCTCTGCCTTTGACAATGATCTATGTCTGTACAGCTCATCAGTCATCTGTTGTAAAAACATCATGGCACTTTGATCAAAAAGCCAACAATAGCCTCCCATGTGAGGTAGAAATGTGAAAAACTATGAGATAGAAATCACATTTTTCCTGAACAACAGAACCCTAGAAATGATGTGCTTGAGTTACTTACAAATAAAATAATGTGATATCTCCACAGAGCTTTAAAGAAAAATAGACACTGATCCTTTCATTCACCTTTCTATGCATTAAAACAAACTCTACTGTCATGTCACAATGCAGATGGATTGTGGATATATGTGGGCAGTGATAAGGAGACACATACCAAGTGCATGAAAAAGAAATGCCTCTGTTGAAAAATTACCTATATAAAACCCTATACTTATCCTAACAGCTCTAAGAGCAAAATGTGGGAGTCCAATTTTGATTACAAGCTTCTATCTGCGGTAGGCAAAGATCTTTAACCTACATTTGTTGAATGTAGTAGGTACACAGAATTATCAGTGTTATGCCTCATTGGATCAATGCAGGATTTTATCTAATTACCCGAGACATTCCATTTCACACTATAAATGCAAACAATCTTTCACTGGTGCACTCTGGATTTAACACAGTTAAAGACCCCACTGTACCTTGAGAAAAAGGAGCAAATTTAAGCATATCAAAAACTTATTTTCTCGCAGAGCTGGAGCATCCTAAAACCATGGAAAGGCAAGTTTTTGTGGCATTAGGCATGGCCAAATCTGAATTTCTCCTTTTTCTTATCTTAACGTCATCTCTCCACTCTTCTCCATTATTTTAAAATCCAAGTTAGATACAATGATTGCATGATTTGCATGCATATTTTTCTAATATTATATTTCTGCAATTAAATTCCCATGTAAAATGCATTTCGCTACTTTCAGCAATATACATCTTTTTGTGCCCATTTATCCAGCTTTGCACTTTGTTGCAAAGTTGTAGCACAACATTCAGAAATTTACAACTACCGGAGAATAACTAAATTTTGATTTGGAAAATTTTAATCAGATAAATTTGTACTGGAATGAGAACGAAATGAATTTCTCATCCATTTCCAGGAGCTCCTATTTTGGTTTTAGCTGGGAGTAAAACATTCTAGATAGTAGTATATATCTACTAGGAAAATAACTTGATTATGACCAACTGTATTACAAGTTTTTGACTGTTCCAGATTCTTAGGCTTGCTATGTCTAAGCAAAAATATAACAAAATAAAGGAATGAGGGAACAGACATGATGAAAACCACCAGGTTTCTTTTTGTGAGATGAATGGAAGAAGTGCCTGTTTGCATGTTTAAAAGGGGATTGATCATATTGAGTAAAACTAATACGATCCGTTTCTGAATTCAGGATTAACCAGATGAATACTGTATGTGAGTTGTGAATGTGGCTGCTTCTTACCCTAGCATTGATGTTCTGTTAATTGCGAAAGAAGCAATTGTATTATGAATTCCATCTAAATCAGGGGTGTCAAACTGGCGGCCCACGGGCTGCATGTGTAACGTGCAGGCCATACCCACCCCAGCTCTGCAAATGGGAAAAACATCGCGAAACATCACGTGATGGCAGCGTGACACTGCGAGTTTGACACTTGTGATCTAAATTATTTAGGCTTAACAACAACAAAATAAGAGTTGGAAAGGACTTTCTAGTCCAGGGCTGTCAAACTCACAGCCCTCAGGCCGGATGCGTCATGCGCTGGCCTTATTCACGCCCAGTTTAGCAAAGGGGAAAAAAGTTACGATATGTCACATGACAATGCTGTGACAACAAGAGTTTGACATCCCTGTTCTAGTCCAACCTCCTGCTCAAGCAGGGAACCCTATACCGTTTCAGACAAATGGTTGTCCAATCTCGTTTTCTTTCCAATGTCTTGGCTTTCCAATATTTACATCTATAACATAGAAAGGAGTCAGTCTGCAGAGGTTCCAATGGCCCAAAGATACCATTGGATACACATAAGAGGAATCTTAAAGTGAAAAGGGCCAGTACTGAGCCAAATGCATGACGCCTCTCAACTGTTCTTTGGAAAGATACAACTGTCCTTTTATCCTATTCAGTACAATGCTTTGGCCAAACTATTTAAATTGTGAGCATTATCAATATATTTCATGTATTGGTGTAATATGGGCAACAATATGCTTATTAATAACACAGTGACTAGACAAAAAGAATCCTCACTTGCATAGAATAAGGTAAGCAAATCTGGGATAAAATTGAACTGGGTTTCTCTTGGTTTGATGTTGGTCAGAATATGCCCAAACTGATGGGTATTGTTTTTACTCTTATGAGGGAATGTTGGGTGCTTTGGACCAGTCACTCTTTCTCAGCCCAACCCAGTTTACAGGGTTGCTATGTGGAAAATAGACAGGCAGAATGAAAACCTAAAGCCTTGCACCTGAGAATCAGAATTTTTGTATGATGATAGAAGGTATAGTAGACATCAATGGTTTGGAGCAGTTACAAGTGACTGTTTGCCATATTTTCAAAATTTACTGAGAATCATTTTCACTCAGATCCCAAATTAGAAAGAAGGTGCTAGTGGAGTCTAAGAAAAACAAAACAACATTTTATTTCCTCATACAGTCATATTTTGTGCTTCAATTATGAAGACTTGAGTGCTTTTTCACAAATGAACACTTCTTGATCCAAAATTTGGATGCCAAAGTATTCTTATTTTCTCAATGTATATCTAGATGACTGTATTTCACATACTTCTGCATAACCTGATATAAATATATCTCAAGCTATGTTTTTCAGCAGATGGTAACCGTTAAGAAAATAACTATGAATATTAGCATGTGAAGTAGTCCTGAGGAAAACATAATAGGATTCAAAATGAGGGACCCATTTGCAGAAGATTCCTCAAAGAAAAGGACCGATATTAAATTTATTTATATTACTAAGTAGGATATTTTCTTCAGCATTTTTCAAGGTAGAAGTCGCATAACTTCAAGTCTTATATTTCCAAGAATACAGGGCTTTTTGTCTGCATTTAAGCAGTCTCTTTTTAAAAAAAATAGCATTATAAGAGTTTATTCACAATACAGGATAGGTTAATGCTCATTTTAATTAAGTGTTGAGTAAGAAAACAAATCATATTACAATCCTGATCTGAAGCACAACATGACATTAAAAAGATAGAATAAAATGCAGAATTATAATAATCTATATAAAAGACAGATGAAGATAATCAGAATCTCTATTATTAGTTAAGCATGACTTGTTTTATTAAATGTCTAAAAGTAAGAATTTAGTCTAGGCATTTTCTGGGAATAGCACTATAGAAATTAGTTCTATTAAAGCATTCCAGAGGGAAACACTATCTTGACATAACATCTAATGCAATTCCCACAAGTGTCCCAAATATGGAAAGTTATTTGGGATCCTTCTGAAGTAAAAGATATGACAAATATTTTTAAAAGGCTATAAAAATCAGGATGAGATTCCAAAGTAACTTTTTACATCTTGCAACAAAGAACAGAACAGGATGATACAAAGTAGTCCTTGATTTACGACCACAATTAGGATCAGAATTTCGATGGCTAAGCTAGGTGGTTGTTAAGTGAACCATACTCAATTTTATGACCTTTTTTGTCAGTGATTCACTGTTGTTAAGTGAGTCATGATGTTGTTAATCCAACTTCCCCCATTAGCTTTGCCTGTACGTCACAAATAGTGATCACATGACTTCAGGATGCCGCACTAGTCATAAACACAAGCCAGTTGCCAAGCGCCTGAATTCTGATCATATGGTGATGCTTTGATGGGCATATGTTAATCGCTTTTTTCAGTGGTATTGTAACTTCGAATGGTCACTAAGTAAACTAAGTTGTTAATCAAGGAGCACCTGTAGTTGACGTTAAATAAAAGCAACCTCATTGTGCATCCCAGTTTGTTGTGTTTTTTTTGCCCCATGTGGACATCCTGGTTGATTTACGAAAAATCTCAATGCAAACCAGAAAAGCGGAATGTGGACTTGAAGTCATCTACCAAAGATGTTCATGCTTTGAGAACTTAAATTATTAAATCCTTGGTTCCCCTTTGCCTTTAAGAAGTATTGGATTAACCACCTGACAAATCTGGAATACGTTTTAAAAGAGTACTAAATCCATATTCTGTTTTGGCTTCATAAGCCTCTTTATCATAAACCTTATTCAGGTTTAACTGTTTTAAATACGTACGCCCAATTCAAAGATTTTATAATGCTACCTTTGGAATTCCGAATACTGAAGTTTATCTTTTCCTCCCTTTCCAAAAAAGTGGACCAGTAACATGGTGTTGATATCAGCACCTTCCATTTCTGGTTCCTGCAAGCAAGTAAAAACAAATCAGGAGTTAATATTTGGTGGAATAACTCCAGATGTATTTGTACTTTTGTAATCCTGTCATAAAAAGGGACGCAGCGGTGTCTCAATGGCTAAGACGCTGAGCTTGTCGATCAAAAGGTTGGCAATTCAGCGGTTCGAATCCCTAGTGCCGTGTAACGGGGTGAGCTCCCATTATTTGTCCCAGCTTCTGCCAACCTAGCAGTTCAAAAGCAGGTAAAAAATGCAAGCAGAAAAATAAGGACCACCTTTGGTGGGAAGGTAACAGTGTTCCGTGCGCCTTTGGCGTTTAGTCATGCTGGCCACATGATCATGGAGACGTCTTCGGACAGCACTGGCTCTTCGGCTTTGAAATGGAGATGAGCACTGCCCCCTAGAGTTGGGAACGACTAGCACATATGTGTGAGGGGAACCTTTACCTTTACCTTTAATCCTGTCATAAATAACTGAAGCAAAAGATGTAATTGTTTACCCTGAACAATGCAAATTAAAATCCAGGATGAACTTTAAATGAAGGAAGAGGCCTTCGCAGAAATAAAGCAATTTATTATTATAATATGAAAACTCTCAATTTGATCAGACTTCAAATAACAACTTTCCCAAATTCTATCTTGGTGTTAAAAATTGCTTTCTCTTTTATAATATAGGCTTTTGCTGTATGGACATATATGCAGTTCCCACGGACAATTTCAAAAGAAATATCAGAATAGTTTAGCCCCTTTTCCAATGGGTATGTGGAAAAAAAATATTATTAATTTTTAATGTTGATCACACAGGTTTCAAAGAGAGTTCTATTAGGAGTTAGTCAAGTCTCATTCTGAAAAAGAAACATTCACATAAGGAAGCACTGTATGACAACTGCAGGTACTTTAAAATATTATTTCTATTCTTATCAGTGAAGAAAAATATTTCAAATGAATCATTACCACAAATATTTTGTCAGTTATTAATGCAACTTTTTAAAATGTACTCCAGGATTCTATGCATTTAAAAAAAAAAACTCTTTAAATATTTATAGTGATACTTGCAAGTGAATATTTGCAGCTTATAAGTAGCACTGATTCCAGTAAGTATTTATCTCTATCTGGGAAAACTAGACTTACTTTAGAAAAAGATAAAATAAATAAATAAAGAGTTCTAAATTTATATATCAAAATTTTACCTAGGCTGTTAGATATGCCAAAATATTAACCTAATAGCTACATGAATTCATCTATTTCTTATTCAAGAGAAATAAATAATTCATATATAGTTGATTTTTCCCCTTAGTAAAAATGCTTAAGAGAAATCAAGGAGTGTATTTCTGTATTTCAGTTATTCCATTTTTTCCTGAAGGTTGAAACTATGCAAAGTGAGGGATTTGTACATTATAATTTTCTTTCATCACTTAGACTAAGTGGCATTTCTTTGAACACAACAACACACTAAGCATCATGGAATCCACAGAGATTTCAACAGTACCCTCCTTATGACATCTACATGACCTCTGTCTTTTCTTCTGCTGAAAAAGAAAGATGAGACAGAGATCTATTCATGGATTCAAATTCTAGTGGTTATTTGAATTTTAGCATTATCTACAAGTTGTATTAGTTCGAGGTGTATCATGCTTATTGCCCAAGTAACAACACACTTTATGGGAAAAGGGATAGCATTTATTTGTCCAATGTTACTTTCCACTAAACTAAGTAAAACGGGCCACGTTTAGGTCACTAGAAATAGCTTATTGTGCATGCTGTACTTTATCATTGACTTTTGTAACTGAAAATATACATATTAAGTTCAGTATTAACATGCTACACCTGGCAATGATGCAATTGATAAATTAAATATAATACGGTGCAACAGAGCGGGGAACCCTTTTGACTGGTAAAAATATTTGGAATTTTGAGAGAAACATTGTAGGTACTCTTGCAAAACATCTGCTGCTGCTGCTGCTGATGCAGGCTGTCTTGTTATAAAATTTGCTGAAAGGACAGCTGAGATGTTGTCATTCCCTTTCCTCTAATCTCCCAGGATGTTTTTTTTTTACTGTGTCCTTTTTGTGGACAGGGGGGCCAATTCTCAAACAAAGTCTGAGCTAGAGCCTCTAGCCCCGTGATGGTGAACCTGTGGCACGAGCCGTCACCCCAGTTCAGCTCTGCTGCGAATGCGCGTGCGCCTCCCGCCGGCCAGCTGGTCTTCAGGTCTATGCCATGCATGCATGGGGGCTGTGTGCGCATGCATGGGTGTGTGTGATGCATGCATGGGGGGCGTGCGTATATGTGGGGTGCGTGCAGGGCCACGCACACATTTGTGGGGTGAGGGGTTTGTGCTGGTGGGTGCGCACGCATATGCAGGGGGCTGCACACACATTGCATTTTGGGGCTTTGGGTGTGCACATGCACATTCATGCGCACACTTGCTTTTGGCACTCGGTCCACAAAAGGTTAGCCATCACTGCTCTAGCCTTAATTTTTATTCACTGCTGAACTCAGAAATATTTACTTACTGCCACAAACCTTTGTACAGTGTAACCTCTAGCAAATAAGAAAGACAAGTTAATAATGTAAATAACAGGGATACTAGAGGTGAGAGCTTTGCTTACAGCATAAATGTGGCCACATTTATGCTGTAAATGTGGGTGGTTGAAAATTTGCTGAGATTTAATGGCATTCAATTTACCCCTTGACTCTCTCTCTCTCTCCATAAAGAACTAGGCAACTTGCAAGTCTCATGCAGATCCCAGAGATGGGGGGTGGAAAGAAATGTCTGGAATTTGCAAATCAGGGAGGAGAAACACACTGAAGCTTGCAAGGTGTTGAACTCCTCCTGGCTTTGCAGTTACAAAACCTGTAACCAGTTTCGATTGCAACAGAAAACCAAGCTGTTTTACCATGTTTTTAAATTAAGGAAAAAGTCAGTAATGAAATATAGAAATTTTTATTAAACGTAGTTTCTAAAGTAAAAAGAAAATACCCATAATAAATGTTATCCTAAGGAGATTCCATAATGGAAAATGGAATTTTTGCAAATTTAGTACATTTACCCAAAAAAAAAAAAAAAGACAACGTGATCTCAAGCAGCATTGACCAAAGTCATGGAGGTCAATATTTATGGGCTCAACTGGTAACAATTATGACATTAATAAACAGCATTAATAAACAAAAGAAATAAAACATGTACAGTATATGGAGTGTCTGTAAAACTAAGACAGTGGGAGCACATAATGGAATTCTAGAATGCATTAGAAGAATTTACTAAACCCACTGAATGAAATTATGCCTCTGATCCTGTAATGCCTGTAATACCATGTCCATATAATTGGTTACTGTTTTCCTGTGGGATGTTTTTTCAACTTCTCATGTAGACTAAGGTATGCTAGGATATGTACATTGTCTCTCATCCAAGTATTAATCAAGTCCAATGTTTTTTTTAAAAAAACATTAGCCAATGTTGTCAAGGTGCAATCACCTACTATGGACCCTTCCAACTTGAACAACTATAAGGTTTTTACTATTTTTGTAACTTTTATATTATTTATACAATTGTAACTGGAAAAATTTAAAATATATTAATCATATTAAATTTTAGATAGTTATAGTAGTTTGCTATAGTAGTTAAAGACATGAGGCTTGAGACCATTTTAGTCATGCCTGAGACACAAAGCCAGCTGGGTGACTTTGAGTCAGTCACTCCCTCTCAGCTCTAGAAAGATAATCAATCAATCAAAATAGATCTGGAAGGGACCTTGGAGGTCTTCTAGTCCAACCCCTGTTCAAGCAGGAGACCCTATACCATTTCAGACAAGTGATTGTCCAGTGTCTTCTTAAAAACCTCCAGTGATGAAGCACCTACAACTTCTGATGGTAAGCTGTTCCACTGATTCTCCTTAACTTGTCCTCAACTAATGATAAACAACTTCTGAAAAATGTTCTAACAAAAATCATGAGCATGTCTAGTCATCAAGAGTGAAGAATGATAGAAGGCACCCAAAAAATCAAAACCAAAGAACTAGGCATTAATGCCTAATATACATTATCATAACATAATGTCTTTTTTTGTGGTGATGATCCATAAATCTTTTATCCTTATTACCATATTTTCCAAAGTATAAGACACATCTTTTTCCCCAAAAAAGAGGGTGAAAATCTGGGTACCTCTTATACTCCGAATGTAGCCCCACCCAGCTTCTCAAACGGAGGTTTCAGAGGCTGAAAAAAGCATCAGAAACAAAGCCCCCAAACAGAGCTTCAGAAAATCCCCCAAACAGAGCTTCAGAAAAAAAGCCTCCAAACAGAGCTTCAGAAAAGAAGCCTCAGAAACAGAGCTTCAGAGGCTTTTTTTCTGAAGCTCTGTTTCGGAGGCTTTCAGAGGCAGGAAAAAAAGTTTTTTCTGAAACTGAGTTTCAGAAGTTTCAGAGGCAGAAAAAAAGCAAAAAAAAGCAAGGCACAGAGCTCACAACCAAGGAACCTGTTGCTAAAATTCACCTTTGGGAACAGCTGATTGGGGGTATTCCGGGAGGCCAATCCACCTGCCAATCAGCTTTTTTCTTATTTTCCTCCCCAAAAACTAAGGTGCATCTTATACTCCGGTGCATCTTATACTCCTAAAAATACGGTATATAACCTTCACCTGAACTATGAATTTCCTCAGATTAGAAAAGTATTTTAGGAAAAAATGTCAGTCATTACTTTATTTACTATTTACAGAGACTAAATAAATAAGTAAACATCACAAATATTTTAATAGAAGAAAAGTTATATAGCTGCATCAGAAAATTCATATGAATCTTCCTTGGATTGGCACCTACCTGAGACAGGATGTCATCTCCTGAAGCTGTTTTAAACTCATCTTGCTTTCCAATTATTTTCTGAAGCTAAAACAAAAGGATGTATTTATTACCTTCTATTTTTCTGAGTGTGGGCAGGACATTCCCACAGCATACACAGAATATTTAATGAGGTTACAAAGATTGAGGCCTCCTTTATTTATTATGGAAGTCTCTACATAGAAAATCTTTTGTATAAGAACACTAAACAAGCATAGAATGTATAAATTATACATGAATTACAAAGTAAATGTAAGGTGTGATAGGCAGCCCAAGTATAGAACTATCTATCACACTGATGGAAGGAGAGGGGCAGGAAGGAATGTTTTATTCCAGGATTTTCCATGAACAGATATGGTCACAAGAACACCTGCTCGCTCACTGAAATTAATTCTTTAAAACCACAAAAATTAGCTTTACACTCATCATTTCCAAGGATTATAGATTCAAGCTTTGTTTGAATAATCCCCGTTTGTGTTTTTCCCAGCCTTGATTATCCTCCTCCTTAACCTAGAGAACCAATCCACAGTCCACACTGTTTGGGAAGGTCCCGATTCTTTGGAGATGTGAGAGTGTGTGTATTAGGCATATGATGGGAAGAACCAGTTGCACAATGACTTTATTGCAAACATATTAAAATACGTCCAGAAATATAAGTTTAAGCAGGACAGCAGAGCTTCAGAGAAAAGTAAAATCAGATAAATGCTTTTATATACCGTTGATTTAAGAGGTTTATCTCAAAGTTAAATGAGAGCTTACATAGAGAGGGTAAGAATTCTCCAGTTCAATTTTTTTTTTCTTCAAATAGTTTACTAAGCAGCCTTATGAAGCCTAATTTCTCTTTTGCTTATTCTTCCTGTCTGAAATATAGGACAATACTATCAATTTGACTAGGGAAATTAACTGGCAAGCCACATTCCTTTGCATGCAGGAAATATTATTCTACCCCTGCCATTTCTAGATAAAGATTCTCAGGCAGTAGCAGTGAGAAAGGCCTTCACTAGATACCATGGACATCAACTCTAAATTAAAACAGTCATTACTGAATAAAATGATCTCACTTTGTAGATTGTAGCTTTTAAAAACGTATTGAAAGAGTGCATTTTAAACATTCTGAATAGTCAAAACACTGATATGTGTTTGATTCAAAGCTGTGTTTTCTTTTAAAAAGCCAGAATGATTAAATAATCATGACTGTCTATAAAATAAAAACAGGTTCTGGATTCAAAGGTTTTCTATCAAAAGCTGCTTTTGCTTATTGCTTTAAATCCCAAAGTAATCATCCAGCAAACTCCTGGCAGGATTTTTTTTTTTTTGTAAAACATTTCTCATCATGTGAGTACAGTATAGCACTGCTAAGCCCCCCTACCTTTCAAAGATGTTAACACCGTTCCTCAAATGGATAGCAAAAAGAAAAGAACATAAAATTTATTATTTATGATAACGGCAAGGTTAGAACCAGAAAGTACAGGACTTAAAGGTTCTTAGAAGTGCTTATGTTTATCATTGTGAGACAAGGAACATATGACCTTCTTTCTAAACGATAAAAATGATCTCTCCTTACATCTCCCACAGGTAGTTCTTGACTTACGACTGTTCATCTAACAACAGTTTGAAGTTCCAACCCTCAGAAAAAGTGTTTTATAGCCTGTGCCTACACTTATGACTGTTGCATAGCTCCCACGATCATTTGATTGCAGTTTGGATGCTTGGCAACTGGATCGCATTTACAAATGGCTGCAGTGTCCTATAAGTCGCATAATTGCAATTTGCAACCTTTTTTTTATGATTTCCAGTAAAAGATGTCTATTGGGAAAACTGGATTCATTTAATGACCACAGTAAAAATGGTTGCAATATCGGTCCAGTCACATGATGACTCGACTTAAAAACTGCAGCAACTTACAGCTGCAATTCTGATCCCAATTGTGGTTATAAATTGAGGACTACGTGTACATTATAAACCTTAAAATGTACCTTTGATTCCTCAAATCCAATGTTAAAAGAAAGTCTGACAGGTTAAGTTGGAAAAAGCAGTATTTTCCTAAATTTGTTTCAGTTATTCAGCTTTTTAGTCACTTCCAGCTCTGTGTGATCTGATGGATATCATCATAATGCCTGTTAGCAAAGGCTTCTTTTGAATTCTTGTGAGATCATGGTTGTGTTATAGTATCTAGGGCTTTATTCATTTATCACATTTATATCCTGCAGCAATTCAAATCAATTTTCACCAGTTTGCATTACAAATTTAAACACAGATAAATTTAAAACATCCAGTAAAAATTAAAACCTTGGCTTGTATCAGCTTCTTTCTGATTGTTTTCAATTTTTCCAAGAGTCGGGGTCTCATTCTTTACATTATATGTCCAAAATGTTTAAGTTTTAGGTTCATTATTAGTTCTTCTGGTGAGATCTGTTTTATTTCATCTAATATCGAAATGCTTGTTCTTCTTGCTATACAAGTTATTCTTTCCAAGTTTTTTCCAAGTTATTCTTTCCAAGTCCCCCCCCCCCCAGCTTTTCTGATGATCCTGCTTTCTTATCCACATGATACAACTGGGAAAACAATGCCCCTGACAATATATAGCTTTGCTGTCAGTGAGATGTCTCTGCACTTTGTCTAGATCTATCACAGTCCTCCCAAGGAGCAACTGTCTTTTTATTTCATGGCTACAGTTACCATCATTCTGAATTAGGAAGATAAAGTCTGTTATTACTTCAGCTTTTCCCCCACTTGTTTACAATAGGATGGCAATGACTGTTGATATCATCAACCGTCAAGATCAACTGATCAATTGTTTCAAACCATACCTTAAAGAATTCTTTTTTCTCTACTTGTTCATTGCCATCTGCATCCAACATTTTAAAAGCAATCTGAAATCCAGTCTGTGGTTCTACAATAAATAATAGATGTGTTCAAAAAAAACCTTTACATGCAAGTGATAGAGTCTGATACTCTATATATAGACACATGCCTCCAGATTTATATACAAGAAATTTGTGTAGTGTAATAGTTAAGATAATGAACTGGGACCAGGAGACCTTTGTTCAAGGCTATCCTAAACCATGGAAGTTCAATGGGTGACTTGGAATCATTCACACATTCTCATAGCAACCTACTCTCAGAGATTTTTTTTTGTGGGGAAAATTGGATGTAGGAGTTTATGGATGCAATCTCAAGCTCCTGGAGTAAAAATGAGATATAAATTTATCACATAAACAGGTGGATGTGAAGCCATTTTTAAAACCATTTCTAGATTTGCTATCAGAGAGTATTGAGTATCTACAAAACCAAGTACAATAAAATGAAAGATTTACCCAATTTGATTGCTATTTTTAAGAATACATATTACAAATTCCATGCATAATATGGGAATGCCCTAAATTAGAGTTTGTGTTACTAAAAAGAAGCCCATAAATCAAAGTTTGGAGAGTCAAATAGAGATTGTTTCTACTGAGCCAATGTGCTAGCAAAATTAAAAGGGAAAGAGATTCCAGCTATTTCAGTGACAGTGTTAAGATCCTCTAAGAATATACAAAGAACCTCAGGGAAAATGAAATGTTCGTTTAAACTTTTACACACACACAAACGTACATACATAGACATACATACATTTCTAGAAATATATATATATATATATATACATACACACACACACACTACCAAGTTTAAAATTTTTAGTTAAAACTTTCAACTAAAATCCCTACAATTCTCAGTACATTCATGAATATCAATAAATATTTCACAAACAGGGTATCTACAGTCTATTGCTTAGGCTTTAGGGCAAGAAGCCGTACTGATTTAAGAACGGCCACTGAATTTTATTAAGTCGACATTTTGAGTCAGTAACACTGCATATGGGGCCTATTAGTTTATTGGAGGATAAAGCAAAACGATAAAGCAGTGAAACAAACCATATGTTGCAACAGGTTGATAAGGAGGCAGCCCCACAGAAGGTATAGGAGCTAAAGCAGCTCGTGCAGCTCACCAGATGACATTCTTATCTGATATGAGGCAGCTTTAATGGTATGTATTTATAAAATATGGGAGGTTCAAAGAAAAGCCCCACACACTTCCATTTAATTATGCAGACAATATTTTTAGGATGAGAGTATCAGATATTCGCATTGGCTGTTAACAGAAATTATATTTGGGTGTTGGCCATAAAAATAACAGTTAACTTTAACAAAATAGTAACAGCCCATATTTTTTTTCTTTAAATCACCATGGGAGGCAGATGCCAAGACAGACAAACCCTAGCAAAAGCTATTCAACCAGAGAGATGAATCCTTAGGACTCTAAATAGGCTTCAGCCTTCGTCTTTCCTCAATTGACTTGGAGATACTGCTAGCAATTCTGAGAATTATAGTTCTGAGCCATTTGGAAGGAAGCCGGTGCTTACTCTCTTCCAACTATTCCCATGATTTGGGAAGGTGCTAACAGGTGGAATGGAAAATTGTGTATTTGAACACTGACTTCCCTAAACATCTTTTCTCCCACTCTCTCCAGGCTTCGGAAGCTCTTTTCAAGGAACAGAAAAGAGGCAGAAAGTGGCCATGCGGATACATAAATTGAAATTTAATCCAACCACCAAGGGCTTGCTTAATAGGAAAGTGGAATCAGGACACAAATATACATTGTTCCCCAAAGAGGAAATTCACCATCTAGAAGTGATAATTGATTCCATAGATTTTGTGTACCCCCCCCAAGACAGCAGTGTTAAACACTGCTTTTGTAAAAATTACATTAGTGTACTAGTACTGCATGAATGCTAGCTTGACTTGGCAATCATGCCTAAACTGAATTGATTGATTGATTTAATTTCTAGACCACTCATCTCCCTCAAGAGATCATTGCAACAAGGAGCTACCCTTGAAGTGCACCCAGAAGCTTCTTTTAGTATAAAATATGATAGAGAAGACAGACCTCAAGAACTTTTTCTATTTCTATTAAAAGACCTTTTCTGGGAGCAATTTAAGATTTTGACTTTTAAAGCACTGAACAACTTGAGGCCTAGATATCTCAGGGATCCATCACAATATGAACTTGCCTAGATATTAAAATAAGGAAAGGCAAGCTTAAGATGCCTTCATTTTCTAAGGACCTGTAGAATGAATCTTTTTCTATATTTCTCAGTGTGCACGTAACCAATTATTACTCTAAGAAGTTCATATCTTTATCAGCTGAGTTTTGACCTGGATCATACAAATAAAAAGGAGCTAACAATAGTGATTAACATTTAATTAAATTGCAAAGTACAGTCACCATCAAAATACTTACTTGTGAGTATTGTCAGCAAAAAGAGGTACTCTGTGTAGGAAATCAATCCTGAAATACAAGATTGAAAGGTTAGTTTGGTAGTCCTCAGCAGATTGATGTGCTTTGTTTATAGCACTTCTTGCACAATTAGATTTTTATAAAAGTTCTTTAGTTTAATGCTCTTTACCTATTAAAAAAAAGCAATATCAATTAGTTTTCAGGAAAATCAGATTTTCCAGCCCCATTCTACTGCTCTACAATTCCCATCATGCTGATATCTTATTAAAAGACTTGGTTTATTTGGGATTAATAGAAAGTCTCTTTAAATCTTTTTTGAGTTTTTACAGAAAATATTCAGTGTTTATACAAAGAATGAATAAATTAAGTGTGCTTTGTCATATTTAGTATTTGGGAGGAGACCTTTGCTAATGTTGCTCTGAAGGATCAAAGTATTTCATCCTTTGGCTGTCTTCGAAATGTGAAGACCATATTTTCTTTAAGTCTCAGGGGGAATAGAGCAACACAAAGCTGGCAAGCTGCTAGATTGAACTGATAGAACTGCTGGGCATGGAGCCAGGAACAGGCTCTAAAAAAAAAAAAAAATTAAAAACCTGAACACATCTTTTCTACAAGGTGAAAGTGTCTTTTCTTTCCCCTTTTGAAGGAAAATTCCAACATTTCCCTTTGAAAGGCCTACTGAAGAGCCTGAACAAACACAAGATGCAATTGTCAAAATACCAACATGCCAGCTAAAGATAGAGAAGTATATAAAGTCTATGGGTTAAAGAAAAGAATTTGAAGCATCCCCCCCCAGTAAGAACACTTTTAGAATTTTTAAAAAGATCTTTTATAAATAACACATACACACAAAGACAAGCTACGTTTAACGTGCAAACAAAAAATAACCCCAACCCTTATCCTGTATAATGGAAGAAATGTTGCAAGCAAATGTTTGAATTCTACCATCTACTGGGCAAGTCTTTTCTGTGATTTATATTTAACTAACCGATAGAAAAGGAGATTCGCCCACCTCCCCAACACACAGGATTCTCACATTAAATAATTCCTATGAATGGATTCTGCTAGTGATAGTTCATAACTGATGTAAAATAAGTATTGTTATGTTAATTCAAGGATGCATAAAACTTATATCCATGAAGTCAGAAAGATTATAGGATAAATATTAAGAGTTTTATTTAACAACTTACTGTGTGTTAAATTGCTTTCGAGGGCTACATAGTTTTTTTAAAATTCTGTTTGAAGAAAGTGCTTGAGAGCTAGGAGGAATGTATACTACCAGTTGGAAATCATTAAAGCAGTTATATCTATATCCCACATTGTAAGCTACCGTAGAGTTTCTGCTGCAGCCATAGAAGAGATGCAGCTACTTCAACAAATAGCTGATAGATGCTGCATTTGCACTTGTGTACAGTCAAATCCAAACCACTGCATTGCTTTCACTAATTTTCCCCATTTTACTCAGCTTACTCATCTGTTAATGATTTCCCCCCTGCATCAGTTTATAGTTTGGTAATAAACTGTATACTAGCACTGAGAAGGTGCTCGTTCTAAACATTTCCCCATAGCACTGATATTGACAAATAAATGTTGATATTCAAAAATTCTTTTCTGTGCTATCACTTCCATTAAACATAGGGGACACAACGTATGATAGAGACATTGGACATGGGTGTCAAAATTTAAATGCCACACAACATTGCCATGTTTTGGAGAACAAATGCACCCAGATATCTTCTTCTGCTTCCTATTCAAACAAGGAACAGAACTTATTGAACTTAATTTGTTCATTTAGCCTTTGACTGATTATGTGCCATCAAGTCAGTGTCTACTCTTAGCAACCACATAGATTTTTCTCAAAGAAACTAGTGTACTGGGCTATGACAACAGCCCTGAGAAAGAGGAGGAAAAGCTGCAACCAAAGCAACAGTCAGGTAAGAGAAATCTCAGCCCCAAGCAGGAATGGAATTTGAGAAAACGTCTTCGACCTGAGCCTAGTATTCATGTCCTTGGTGTTCAAGTTTGATTAATTTCAAAGGGCTTACAATATTGATTTAGGAAGCCTAAATAATCCCAATGTTTTATAGTGTACTGCCAAACTAAATTGCAGAATTGTTATTATCTATATAGTAGAGTAGAGTAGAGTAGAGTAGAGTAGAGTAGAGTAGAGTAGAGTAGAGTAGAGTAGAGTAGAGTAGAGTAGAGTAGAATAGAATAGAATAGAATAGAACAGAATAGAATAACAGAGTTGGAAAGGACCTTGGAGGTCTTCTAGTCCAACCTCCTGCTTAGGCAGGAAACCCTACACCACTTCAGACAAATGGTTATCCAACATCTTCTTAAAAGTTTCCAGTGTTGGAGCATTCACAATTTCTGGAGGCAAGTTGTTCCACAGATTAATTGTTCTAACTGTCAGGAAATTTCTCCTTAGTTCTAGGTTACTTCTCTCCTTGATTAGTTTCCACCCTTGCTTCTTGTCCTACCCTCAGGTGCTTTGGAGAATAGTTTGATACTTGATACTAGTTTCCCTGAACCAAAGGCAAGCTACAGACACTCTGAAATATGATCATGAAGTATCTCCAAGAATGACCTGTGTTCCCACATACATTTCTAGGCATTCCAGGTTCCAGCAAAATTCATTCTCAGCCTCATTCTCCCTCCCTCTCTCTCACACACACCTTTTTCGGATCTTTGTTTCTGGAGCTAAAATAGAGTTTGAAATAGCTCCAACAAAATATTTAATTTAGCAGCCTAGGCATCAAGCAAACATTTCCATATATTGAAATCTCAGGAAAGAAGATTTTAATATTAATTACATCAATAACCTAAACGGTTACCTCTGTCTCCAAGTTCTCTAAAAAAGGTTGGTCCTGGTCTAGCCTTCGTAACATTTGCTAGGGTAGAATCTATTTCCTTTGAACAAACCAAATAAATGACAGGTTAGTTGTGAAAGCAAAATCCATTAAAGCAAATAACAGAAAGAACAAAAGTTCTTTTGACAAACAGCATCAACTCTTTGCCTACCTTTTTTGTCAGTTTCTTGGCCAAAGTTTTACCTGTCCAAAAAAGAAAAGAAAAAAGAAAAAACACACCAGTCAATCATCTGTAAGTCAAAGCTTTGTTGAGTTCTGCAGTTTCTTCATACTGTGTTTTTAAAAGAGAAATTGCACGTGACACTACCAACAGCTTAGAAATATTTAAATGTTCATAATAGTTAGAAAAAAACCTACTGTTCTAGAACGATAGGAACAATCTATTCAATACTGCTACAATGCGTAACAAATAGAATAAAATAAACTTTTAGATATTTAACTTAAAAAAACTAATATACTTTCTATTCGTTACATTTACATATTGGCATAAAACTGAAATCACAAAAAACAGCTGTAATACAGCCTCCTTTCAGCCTTTTAGATATTCCAATTATAATCCCTAAAAATTGCAGTTAATATAGCCAACACGCATCTTCCAAACCAAATGGGCTGCAATAATTTTAAAACCTATTGCTATAAAAAACTACCACTAGAAACATTTAGGACATTAGTCCAAGTATGCGACAGGTGGCTATTATTGGTTTTCCTTCTTCTTTCTAGTTCTTAACTATCTCCCATGTGAATGTAGTGGAAATGAAACTGGTTTGAGTTCTGTCAGTGACTTTCTACTTGACAATAGAAAGATGAGTTCTCCCTGTAACTCATGAATCATATTGGAAACCAAAATAGAACTCCAGTTTTATTCACACCCAAGAACCCTGAATACGGTCATTAACATATTAAACCATAACTTCATTCCCTGGATCCTTTGGGATAAATACATCTAGAATTTTGTGATCACATCTTAACTGGCCTTGGTGAACACCAAGGTGTGGTTAGCATGCATGGTGCATCATCTAGCAAGGAATTAGAAACCCACTTGGAACTAAATTTGTTGAATGACTTATCATGACATTGGGTGTAGTCTACCATAACAAAGCGTCACACTTTTCACTCATTAAATATCTTTGATAATTTATAAATAGTAGTGGTGAAATCTGAACTGGTTTGCTACCGGTTCGCTGGCTGCGCATGTGCGCCAAGTGTGCGCTGAGGACGCGCATGCGCAGTACACACCAAAAGGAGGCTTGGGAAGGTAAGTAGAACAGCAAAGGGGGGGATCAGCTGTGCCGCGCGGTTTAGCTTCACTAGAAAGCAGGATTTCCTGCTTTATAGCAAAGGTAAACCATGCGGCACAGCTGATTGTCGGAAATCCCAGTTTGGAGTAGCTTTTTTAAATTACTGGTTCAATCGAACTGGTAGCTTTTTTTAACTACCGGTTCAACTGAACTGGTAGCTTTTTTTTACTACTGGTTTGCCTGAACCAGTAGTTTTTATCACTACCGATTCGCCCGAACCAGAGCAAACCGGTAGCACTTCACTTCAATAGGTTATATAAAGAATTCTATATTTTTCAGGTTTATAACTTTTCACTCTATGTATTGTAAACTCATGAACTGAATTTAAAAACTTTATGAAGGTCTATATACGGCAATCAAAAGTAATAATAGTTTGATTTCTTTCATTGTTCTTTCATAAGAACGAACAGAAATTATTACAATTTAGGTCACAGGTGTTAAACATGTGGCCTGTGGGCCAGATAGCCCAGAATTGTCCTGTGGGGCCCTCCCGGAGATGGCGAGGGACTGGCCTGTGCTGCCTCAGCCCACTCGGCTTCACTCACCCACTCTGGCCCCCCAATGGCAAACAAAATCCTTATACAGTCCACGCTGGGATTGAGTTTGACATCCCTGCCTTAGATACTTCAAACTGCCAATGGCCGTTGGTTCAGACGTTGGATGCTTTTTAGCATCTTTCCACCTTTTAAAACATCCATTTACATAGCTTTTAAACAACAAACAGCAGATACACAAAGCACCAATGAGAAAAAAGCACATTTTTTTTCCAGGCAAAACATTATCCATAACTTTGCATGTATAAGAAACTGCCACCGGAATCAAGGATTACATCAGTGTTCTCTGTCATAAAAACAAATTTTGAATAGTTAGTTTTAGAGTTAGATACCAAATGAATGTCACACATTTCTTTGCAATCTAAATTTTATAAATTCAGAGCTTTGTAACATATATTTTACTTAGCTATTAGTTATCTGTTAATACCAATGTTCAGACTAAACCTGATGTTAGTATCTCAACGGCAATGAATTCAGCCCATGTTTTCCTGCATACAATACACTTAACCTATGCCTCTTTAGGAAGAACAGACATATAACCTTTTGTTATTCAAAAGTCACTACTTTATCATTTGTGATAATGTTATAACGCAAAGGAAAAGTGTAGCATTAATAATGACCCTTGGGTAGGATTTTCCACAATTTGGAGTTGTCCTTTCCAATTGTTTAAGTAGAAAGGCAGAGCAAACCATCAGTCCCAGCTTTGCTTCCTGTTTTGCTTAGAAGTTCCTGCTGTCACCATTTATCCTTCGAGGGGCAAATGACTTGACATCCATACCCCTTAATGTTTTTCTGGCCATTAAAAAGTCAAAAAAACTGAAATGACTGCAATTGGACCATCTCCTGATGTAATGTAAAGGCATAGTGACAAGGGGATTCAGCATTTCCTTGCCTTTTGAAGATAAATCAAACTCAGAGGTCACAAAATCAAATGATGTTATTAAAAAAAAAGAGGATAAAACATTAAAAAAAATAAAGCATTAAAATGAGAACATTCATTATGAAAGGAAATAATTACAAATTTTACATGAAAAGAGAAAATCCAAAAGAAAACCCAGTGCTCCAGACAGGCCACAAGATGGCACTGGTCTCCAAAAAAAAAATTCCCTGCAAAATATAAGAATATTCTAAAGGAAAAAAAGTATCTTCATACAGTTAACCTTAAATGTGCTGAAATCAAACATCCAATTCCGTAATTTATATTCCAGAAAGATAAGAAAAATGAGACTTAATGCAACAACAACAAAAAAGCCAAAAATGAATCCTTGGGCAGATATTTTACCCTTTTCCATAAATTTAGATCCTGCAATGCACTCTACATGTGGCTGCCCTTCCAGGCCAGAAGTGGGGAGGGCACTCCTAGTCCCTTCCCTTAAACATTTATCATCTAATGGGAATTAGGAAGTGTGCCTTTTCCCTGCCCTACAGGACATTTTTCCCTCTGAAGTTCAGCAGGCCTCTACCTTCCTACCCATCCATAAAGCCTTGGACTTCAACTCTCAGAATTTCCCAGCGAGCATGACTGACTGGGGAATTCTGGGAGTTGAAGTCCACCATCTAAGAATTGTCAAGGCTATGAAACACTGCATCAGAGGATATCAGGCAAAGTGAAGCCCCATTTTTCTACAGATTTCTTTGTTTTAAAAAGACCAAACTTCCTCTATATCTAGTAGGACAAAGAGCTGAGGTACCTGTGTATATGACCAAGACCAGGGGTCTTTTAAATACTCAAAGAGCCATTTGGACCCGTTTCCCACAGAAAAGAAAACACTGGGAGCCACAAAACCTGGGTGGGCATGGCCAACTCAATGTCACTCACTTCTACCAGTCACATGACCCCCAGCCACGCCTACCCAGCCGGTCATTAGGGCAGAGAACCAATTGTTAAAAAACACCAGGAACCACAAAATCATTTTGACATCTCTTTCTCTCCCCTCCCTCCCTCCCTCTCTCCCCCCCTCCCTCTCTCTCTGTATCTATGTCTCTCTCTCTCTCTCTCCCCCTCTTCTCTGTCTCTGTCTCTGTCTCTGTCCTGGCCACTTCTCCATCCCCCACTGTCGCCCTTACCTTCTCAGGCCAGGCAAGGAGTGACTGGGAGGGGAGGGCGAGGGGCAGGGCCAGGCAGTGGTGGGATCACCTGACAGGGAGCCACAGCAGAGGGCCCAAAGAGCCGCATGCGGCTCCGGAGCTGCAGGTTGCTGACCCCTGACCAAGACCAAATTCAGTTGTAGGAGTATAAACGAAGAGTCTCAAGTCTGTTGGTTGCATTCAGAATAAACTGCATCATTTAATTCAGTTTGTCTCATTTTAAAGTGATACACAAAGAAGAAGAAATTCTCCTTCCTAATTTCTCTTGACTAATATCTTGAGTATCAGAGAAGATACTCTAATTTGGCAAATGGACAAATCGGCATTCATTCAACAGCATTGTTTAAACTGAGAAGAAAAACAGCACTTACGCTCTGATTTGTCAAACATAACTGAGAACAGGAAATCTCTTGGAGTCATGTAATATTCTCCTCCATACTCCAAAGAAGCAAATTTCATAAAACGTTGCTTTCGAATGGAAAGCTTTTCTGCCATCTCTTCATCCACAGCATCTTCCTTCTGAAACACAGGAAATGATATAGCAAATACAGGTAAATATATTCATGGCTAGAATCACCAGCTATGACTCAGCAACAGAACAAGACCTGAAACAATATCATTGCTGCATGCTGCAAAACAAATATTTATTTTAGACTAAGGCAATTGTCAAAAGGATCGTTGGCGTTTATGCACACATCTGTTTGTGGGTTTGTAGGCGTGCATTTTTTAAAAAAAAAAATACTCCTGAATCTTACCCAAACTCATGGATAAGATGGAAACAATGAGGTGTGATTAATTCTAAATGTAATTTCACTTCATTAGCTGGTGGCCAATGCCGTGTCATTAGGCAGAAAAGATAAAAAGACAATAGAAATAATCAAAAGACTAGAACAACTTCAAATAAGATAAGATGCCCGAGATGCTTTAGTTGAGAAAAATTGTGTAAGTGATCAAGGGAACAGGGCGAAAAGGCAGCTGTCACAAGAATAAATACTGCTGTGTGTGTGGGGGGTGGTGGTGATGGTTGAACAAATGTTGGTGCACAAATAAATGTTGCCTCTTGGGGCGAACGAATGAATGCTGTTGCATGAATGAAATGCTAGGGCTTGGGGGCAGCTTTTTGCCCCACAAGACAAGGTGCAGGGTGGGCGTAGTTAGGAGGGGAGATAGGCAGGTGGGGGAAGTTGGCTTGAGGCTGTGAGGGACAAAGACATTTCATTACATGACTCCATGACTCGGCAACTGAAATTCCTGTCCCAACTGTGGTCGTAAATTGAGAATTACCTGTACTCTTAAGAATTATTTTGGAAATATTAAACTGGAATCCACAGTCCTATATCTTCAGTTTCTTTTGTTATGCCCTAAATTCTGGAATGACAGAGAAATAGGTCTTAACTTTCTTCTGTGAGAAACTACTTCATGTATTTTAAGAATGTTGTATTTTTTCCTCACAGCCTTCTCGTCTCAAGGCTAAAATATCCATTCCCTTAATTTGTCACTCCAGGAGTTAAGTTCCAATCTTCTCTTAACCTTCATTGCCCTTTTCTGAATTCATTCCAATTTGTCTGAATGTTTTTAAAATTCCACTGAAAAATAGAAACAATATTTAAGGTGGAGGTCTAACCAATGTGAAATAAAGTGGAACTATTTTTTTTCAGTCATTTGAAAATATAATGCTACTGACGCACTTATCTTTTTGGAATCACGTCACATTGCTGACTCATATTTGGCATGCTAACAATTATAATTTAAGGAACCCTTTCACAAGCACTATTATGAAGCAGGCTGGTTCATCTGAATTCACACTTTATTCGTTACATATTCTTTTCTATGTGTTCTTTTTTCTGTATTTCTTTAATCCTTCAATTCTTTCCTTCTTTATTATCATGAGTTGCATCCAGTGGTGGGATTCAAGTAATTTAACAACTGGTTCTCTGCCCTAATGATTTCTTCCAACAACCAGTTTGCCAAACTGCTCAGAAAGTTAACAACTGGTTCTCCCGAAGTGGTGCGAACTGGCTGAATCCCACCACTGGTTGCATCACTTGAAAGTTGGAGGTCTGCAAAAGGACATTCCACTGGTAGAGACAGAGATAAAGGTAGCCAGAGTAGGAACACTGCTTATTGTCCATAAAGGAAAAATTGCAAAAGACTACAGAAGTATTATGACGTAAGTATCAAGATAGCTAGATTGAATGTCATTGTTGCCTATGAAAATCAAGTTCCTGTTATGTCAAGTTTCAACTACTGTTGACTTCAGAATGATCCCCTCCCTCCCTTTTTTATTCATTTTATTATTTTATTTTATTTCTTTCCCTCCTTGGTTTCCCTTTCTCTAAAGATATAAGGACCCAGCATTATACATGAATTCATAAATATACTGTCAATTGTACATTGAAATCCTTATCCTTCATCCTCTTATAACTGATCCGTACCTCAGTTCTAATTAACCTTTAAATCACAGAGGAAGAACTGAGTCTGAAGTCTCTCAAGCCCAGGTTGAGGGCTTGGTAGACTCTGAAGTTCTTTTAAAATGCCATCAAAAATAAGGAGGGTGTCCAGTGAAGAGCAATGCAATACTCTCTGAGTTTAGAGTGCACATCCAATTTCTATTTATTCTGATGAAAAATGAGTTTTACAAAACCAGTGCTCTGTTGAACTACAGCATCTCAACAAAGATGAACATGAAGAATGTACCTATGGGCTTGCTTTCTGACATAAAATTTTGTGTCTGTCTGTCTGTCCGTCTGTCCATCCATCCATCATCCATCCATCCATCTCTGATCAATCTAACGAACAACACCAAGCAGTAGCTAGAGACAAATTGTAGAAGCCAAAGCAAAATGCCTTTTCATCCTGCCTTTACTCTTGCTCCGGGTGAATGTTTTGTATGCCTTTACTGATTCCTTAAAACTCTTTTAGCTTAAATTTCATGGACGTGTTAAACAGAACAGTGTATTCAGCTTTATTCTCTTTATGACTCAGGGGTTTTCTCTCCCTACATCATTGACAATGATGACTGAAGCAATGAAAGTCCTGGCACTCTCAAGGGATGCCCTTCAACCAGCAACCTAAAAGTGAGTCATGACCGCAACTGAGTTTTTGTACTTGCTACAGAAGAGCTGGTGGCAAAAAAATAAAATAAAAAAATAAAAAAAATCACAAGGAATCTGGTAGCATTTTTCTAACAAATGTTATTGAATGTAAGCTGCTGAGGTGAGCAGCTTACGCCTTTCAACAAATGTGCTAGAAAAGGTGCTACCTGATTCCTTTTTATTCTTGTTCTGTAATTCTTCCCTTTGGTGGGGAAGTTGAATAAAGCCAGCTGAGCTATAAGTGCAGTCCAATATATGATAATCTTTTCAAAGATTTTCTGCAAATCTTAAGAACATTTTCAAATTTTACATTCTAAGAGCAAACAATTAGATAATGCTAGTAGTTCCTTTACTTTAGTCTAACTAAATTCAGTAGGACTTACTTCCACTTAGGCAAACCTGGTACTTTCAAGATATGTTATATTACAATTTCAAAATTCCCAGCCAAGCTATTGATTATGATAGCAAAAAAATTACAATCCAAAGACTGGGGAAAGCTGATCTGATATTAATCACCAGAAATATAAGAAATTTATTTTGAAAAATGAGTCAGAAGCATGGCTTTCAACTAGACTGAAGAATATCAGATCTTTTGGCTATTGGTATATGAACACTTATACAACTATCCAAGAAAAATTACTGCATTTTGGCTTTCTATGAGGAACATTAGTTGTCATAGCTGACATAACCTTCCTTACTTTTAAAATGGTTTTGCCAGAAATTGACATTTACTTCCAGTTTCTGGTAAATAAGGCACATAGCAAACAATGGGTTTGCTTAATGTTTGACGCAAAATAATAATAATAAAATCTCACTCTTAATCAACACTGACTGGAACTGGCCTCGAAGAAAGGGGGAGGGGGGAAGAGAATGAGCACAGTACCATGCAACCCCTCTCAGAAGCAAAATCCAGAACAATACCATGAATAATGGCATCAAAAGCTGCCAAGAGATCAACTAAAACAAGAATACATGCACTACCTCATTCTACTCCCACCAGAAGTGATCCAAAAATGTGAGGAATGCCATATTTGGGCTACAACTGAAAGGGGTCTAGATAATTTGCTTCATCCAGGTATTTTAAGTGTTAAGAATAGATCAACTAGAACACAGATCTTGATGTTTCACAAGTGATATACTGGTAACTAAGAGAAAAACTGCAATGGCAAATACAGCAAAGTTTATGTTACACTGATTTGAATAACCTAATTTCTTTTAAAAAATCAGAATTAATGATGCATTCTAATTAAACTAAGTCCATTTAACAGAAAAAGGGGTTTGTTTAAACTGGTTATGTATATGTATATGCATATGCATATATATGTATACACACACACATGTATGTGTGGGTCTGACTGTGTGAGAAAGAAAACACATTTTTAGGCATAATTAAATGGTAAAATGTATTCGGTTAATGTTTAGTTATTTTATTGCAACTACAGACAGTAGGAATTCAGGAATTCTAATATATCATATATGCCACAGTAGCAAGACATCAACTGAAGTAACAAAGAAAAACATTTCAGCATTAATTATGAATATAAATGTTCCTGTGATTTTATGTTAGACCCCTTCTCATGGTAACTGGAAATATCAATGTTAGATCTCTAATACTTAGTGGAGAATTAGACTTGAATGACTTCAAAGACCTCTGCAATGACGCAAATCATTTCTCCTTTCATTGACATACCAAGTAATCAGCTGCTAGGAAGCAATTTGTATCTGAACATTATTTACACAGACACAATCTGTTACTTGCAGGCAGACAGGCTTCAACACAGCAGTATTTTCTGCAAGCTAATTTTTAATTTGTGCAAGAAAGCATCTTAAATTATTTGGAAAGAAGAAAGACATTGATTTTTCTCCTTCTTTTACTCTACACAGAAGAACTAGCCCGAGGCAGTTGTAACCATACATGTACAAAGTACCTACCACCAAACCCTGTAAAGCTTAATTCATTTATCTCAGGAATGAATAATGGGTCTTAAATTACAGGCAGTTAATTCTAACCAAAAAACGGATGAGAATAAAAGGTACTACGCATTTCTTCAAATCTTGATATCATAAATAATGTGTTACCTTTCCTTCATTATTAACTTTCGAACTTTTTGAATATTATCTAGTATGTGAAAAAATGTACAGTTGTATGCAGTTTATAGTGTTTACTGAAGGATCATTTTTAAAAACTTGGTTCCTTTCAAAATGAATTGTTGGTTCCAGTTTTTTTCCAGTATAGTACAATTAAATGACCTTTCTTGCTCTTTCTCACACATTTACACACATTCCTTTCTTACAGTCTCTTATTCCCTCTCCTTATAGTTATAATTTAATTCTAGCTTCTATTCTACTTAAATACCCATTTATCATCAGTCATCAGTGACTGGTTCAAAGGATCTGTCCATGTTGGCTCCTGCCCAAACTCCA